AGTCTCCAGGTTTAGTTTGAAGCCGTTCATACATTGTAGGGAATTCTCTTGAATTGTGGCCTGTGATTTGCATCGATTACTCAAGAAGGGTAAAAAAACACCTGCCCAAGAACTTTTACTGTCCGATCTTTTTGTCCAAGCTTTCAACGACAGAGAGAACTTTTCTCACTTGCACACCGGCATCTTCTGTACTCAGTTCTGTAACCATGAAGATCAACTCATTGTTCCCCTTTTACAATTGATGATGAAGTTTGTCTGTCCTTAAACCTCAAGGCTAACTGCATCTCTATGAACGTTCTGAGCTTCTGAATCACTTGAGATCTCCAAGCTTCTTGTTTGCTTTGTTATCAAAATCCTGAGTTAATGTTATTAATGATGAAAGCTGTTAGTACTTATTGATCTGGATGTAAAGGAACATTAATGACTAGCTCATGTCATATATGTCTTGACAATCTACAAGACATCGGAGTTGTCTGAGAGAAAGGAGGAAGAGATCCAACACTCAATGAGTTGATCTCCCTTGACTCAAACGGAAGGGAGTGTATGTGTTACCGACTGGTGGAAATCTGAATGAGTTTGCCTACGTGATTTACACCTTCATGAGCCTTCATGTCCATCAAGAGTTTCAAGCCCCATATTACTCAGTAGATGTTGAGTTTCAGTCAAAGGCTAAGCCTTGACTGTATAAGCCATTATCCTCAGTTGGCTGATTCAATATTGTTTGGAAACAATTCAATTGCGAGCGAATCAAAAATTGGGTAAAATAATGTAAATGTCCAAAACTAATCAATAGAAGATTGAAGGGATGTGTAGTGCGCCTTCACAATAAGTAGATGGAACTATTGAAAAATTGAAAGGTGAAACAATACGATTCAAAAAGATGACTGCATCTAACTTCTGTACCCTCACATTTCATAGGGTAATCCAGCCAAAACAGCTCCCAATCACCTTTTGGCTAGCTTTTTGTTTGATGAGTGTGGATTGATACCTATTGATACCTCTTCATGTGTCTTGACCTCAACTGATTTATCACACCCAATATCAGATCACCTTCTAATTTATTACTTGCTTGTCCAAATCTCAAACATTTAACAATGGATTTTAGAAATCCAATTCCATTATGTTTAAAACCTCAAGCATTACCAAATTTAAAATACTTTCATTCTTCTATTACAAAAGAAAACACCCAATGTATGGCCAATATATATGAAACAACTAAAAAAAACTTTAAAATTGATTGCTTATTTACTTCTTACTGAACCTGAAGAAGGAGCTGAGGTGATCTTTGAATTGATCCAGGACAGACTTGAAGGTAAGTGTGATTTTCAAGACCGTAGTGCAAGAGAAGATTACAAGCCACTAGAACAGTCAAGGGTAATTTATCAGGCTTCCAAAACTGAATCCAATGTCAATTTTGATGCATATAGGAATCATCCAAAACCACAGCATAGTTGAAAAACCAAAGACTGTAAATCAGTATCAATTGGTTGTCAAACATCTAAGGCTATATGCCGGGATTGCAATTGGAAAAGAAAGATAGAAATTTGCCGTTGTGAGAAGCCCAAGTAGAATACTTGTCATTCGCTGGCTGTGGCTTTCAAAGATATCACTATGTGAGACTCAATATAAAGCTTGTTCAAGCAAATCTTGATCTTTGAGATCAGTCTCTGTTGGTGTCAAGAAATATCAAAGATATCATTAACTGTATGGGTACGTCAAGATTTCTCTCTTCGCTTGAAATTGAAAAGAAGTTGAAATTTTTCTGAGAATCGATTTGTTTTGAAGAGGAACTTCTGAGAGTTGAATAAAGGTGAATCGGTTGCCTTTGAAACATGTAGCACAATGCAAGGGACTTGTGCAAGAGGTAGATATCTTGAAAGAGTGGTGTCATCGTAATATTGAGACCAATCGAGATGAAATGTTGCTTCTTTTGGCAATATTCAGGGATATTTGATCAATGGTGAATGATATTTGACAGATTTCGCAGTGACATGAGGTGAAAACAGATGATAAGACGCTCCAGGCGCTGCAAGCGTCAAAGTGTGACCCTAGCGCCTGGGGCGCAGCGGAAGTAATTTCATCCAACAATACATTTGGAAAAGCGCTGCTCAGTTCACGCTTTGGGGTTTGAAAAACCCTGAAGCGGAACTGGCGGGCACCTCCGCAGTGCTGCCGCCAGCGCTTCAGCTTTTCCCTGTGCTGCTGGTCCACTGTTGGTTGCGGTGTCCAAGTCCACAACTTCCTTCAATCATGAATCTTGTTCACATTATGTTCACATCAGGTTCACATGTTACCCTTGAGCTGTACCATGCACAATATAGTATATACCACATAGATCAACAGCTCACCGCAAAGTGCTTTGATGCAACCCTTCTGCCAGCTCTGCCAGTGAGCCTGGAGTCAAAGATGTTGAAAGACAATCAAGACCAACGTCAAGAGTGTAATCAAGTGTGAAAGGTGTAGAAGGACGGCAAGGTTCCCTTATTATTTCAATCTTGTCTATGAGTGATTTGATGTTATGTTTGCGATGCTTGTTTTGTTCTTTGTGTTTTCCCCAACCAATGTTAGCGCTGATCTTTCCCAATGATTTTTATTCAAGTTATTGAGATATATATGTTATCACTTTCCTCTCATCTGAATCTCTCTTTCCCCATCTATTGGAAAGAGAGTACGTCTTTTATCATACTTTAAACTCAAATCAGTACTAATGTTATCGCACTAAAAAGAATCCCATAGATCACGAGCCCCTTTCATTAGCTCACTTCTATATTATTCTTGTTTTATTTTCCCTCCATAAAACTTAGGTTAGTTTCCCAGGTCTGCATACCTGCGTGTTGGAGAAGAGTGCTAAGCGTTCAAGCACTGTCTTACTAGGTACACGGTGTTGTTAGCCATTTACAAAAGACTAGCACAATTGGGCGGCGGGCGCCGCACTGACATTTTTGTCACAACCTGGAGAATAACTGTGGGGTGTGTCAGTAGATATTTTGAGAATTTGGTGCACTCCTAGGCGCGCGTGAACTTTGACACCCCTTTTTGTGCTTTTTGTGCCCCACCCTGAATGACTGCATGGTGAAAAATGTGTAGATAAAATTATATCCTGCCTCAGGATGAGCCCCAAGACCCGACAAATCGGGGATCCCCGCGGTCCACCCCGGCGAGTCAGGGGGTTGTTCTGGCCTCCGAATGGGCCCAGAACCGCGGGGAGAGTCGGGTCCGGGGGTTGTTCTGAGAGTTGAAAAAAAGCGATTCTCCTCGGGGACCCCAAGGAAAATATCTGTGTGAAAAGCAGACAAATCGATGTTGGGGAACGGTCGTGCGCTGCGGTATTTGCCGGGTACTCAGGATCCCTGTGAATTCTCCGGGAAATTAGTGGCCCGTCGGGGGTCAGGGTACAGGTGCCGGGCTTGGTTTCAAGGAGAGAATAAGCTTGGGGAATGGCGGGGTTGGTCCTTGTTCTGCCTTTTGAAAAACATTGGTCGCCCGGGCAGCGCAATCCCTGGCATTTGCGGGTCGGGGCTCATCCTGAATCCTGCCCCAAGCCTAACCTTCTAATCCTAACACCCTAATCCTAACCCCTAATCCTAACACCCTGGTCCTAACACCCTAATCCTAACCACCTAATCCTAATGCCCAAATCCTAATCCCCTAATCCTAATGCCCTAACCCTTACCCCCTAACCCTAACCCCTAACCCTAACATTTCCTAGCCAGTTTTTTCTTCTTCAGTCTCACCAGAAGTTCAGTGTGCTTATCTGGAATAGATTTTCTGGTGTGCAAAAATTACAAATATCCAATCAATGATGCCAAATGATAGTTATTTTGTATTTTCTTTCAATTTATAACTTTTGTACTTTGCAAAAGGTTTGTGTTTCATAGCTATCTTGCAATGGTTTTCACAGTATTGCAAAGGATTTGGGTATGGCCCAAAGAGAAAAACCATATGCCTTAATCTGGCACATATTGCACAGATTTTCCAGCAAGGAAACTGCTCCCCTCCATGAACAAAATTGCTTCAAAGTTTTGGCTTCAATAGTTGTACATGTAGACCACACATGTAACCACTGCAAATGGGAAGTTCCGGTGACACCACCGGAATCAATTAGTTTAAACCCCAATTGAACCAAATTCCACCACCAACATATTTATCTTGGATTTTGTAATCTGAGGTATCCTCGGATGCAAAACCTCGGACAGAAGCTTCCCGAGGTTTTGATCTGAGGTAATTCTCAGGGCAAAAAAATACCTTGGGCAAAAACCTCAGACAAGGTCTGTCCAAGGATTTGCCTCCGATGATGCCTTGGATTTCTCAACCCGAGGCATCTATGCTGGCAGTGTTCTGGTGTCCGGGTTTGAAATTTCCTTGAATCATGAAATTTGTTCACAACCTGTTTGCAATACGTTCGCCAATTTCCCTTGAGTGGTACTATGTTGGACCAGCGTATGTATGTACAAGTAAATGCAGAAATTATACACCACCCTGTAGTGATCTTTTGGCCCCAAGGTTTTTGTATCTGTTCTGCGTCTACTTGTACAGCTTTATCATACAACAACAACCCCAATTCCAACCATTCGACCATCTTTCCTTTGTCATGCACTAGAGCATCGGTGGGCGGCCAGCCGCCCCATCGGGTCAGGCATCACTATAGAAATGAAGCAACGTAACGTAGATGTAGACTTAAGCAACGCGCTTAGATACGGTGCAACCAGCAGCGGCACACAAACAAATACCCGGAGGTAAGGATTCCGCCTTTTTCTACAAATCCTTTAGTGAGAATTTCCATTGAGGTCATAACGGAGACCAAATTCTCCACGTGAGGCGAGGTTTTTGCTCAGCAAATTGTATGTGCAGCCATTGTCATTGAACACAGAAGAAATGTAATGATGACTTGGAGATCTGCTCCTCAAGGCTTTAGATATATAGAGCTAGCATTGTAAAGAGTGTATGGGTAACGCACATCGACTCAGTCGCAGTCTTTCAGCGATCAGCAAGACCGGCTGTTACATAGTATCATCGCCACAACCCTTCTGCTTCTTTCGAGATGACACATCATCTGGAAACACATCCTGTGGTCCACCCACTCTCACAACTGATGTGAACGCCTGACGCGAAGTGCGCTTATTGCAAACCCCAATTTCCTGCTTGCCAATCACGTCCTTGATTCCTTCCTCAGGTCTAAAGGACAATATCAAAGTTAGCTGTTGATTTGCCACATCGACCAATCGAAGTCAAAAGGCTTACATCGGGCTCAAACCGTATCGAACCTTATGGTTCCTGAGCCGACCACGACATGATTGCATTACATTCACCTGCGTGAGAACCAATTTAATCATGGTCACATTCAGCATGCAGGATGCGAAGAATACCTTGCTGATCCACATGGAGGACTCCACATCATATCCTGTGATGTCGCCTGATACGTAGACAATCACACCAATCTGCCACATAGACTTCGCGCTTTGCAATGTCGGCATCCTTTCAAGATGGTGCTTTGTCATCCACATGACAGGCCTTTGACTCTAGTAAACATACATCGTGGTCAGCCATGCTTATTAAATGAATGGAGTCTACATCGTAAACTGACTGTGGGATCGATATCAGTAGATTGTAGCGTAATCATGCAGCCATCGGATGCACCAGGCAGGGTCGGTGGCATTGTTTTGATCGCCATGACCATACCCCGAGTCGTGAATGACACTTTGTCGATGGTCGTGTTCAGGAAATTCTCACTGACCTCTGCCATAGGACCGTGGTTGACACAGGTTGAATCATCGACGTGTAAGTAATCCGGCTTCGCATCATTGGATGCAATCAATTTGCACTTCATGGTGTATAGATTTCCGACCTTGATTCGACTTGCGGTTGATTTGGTGGTAATGAGGTTGACGTCGGTACTTCGGATACCTGCGTTGCCGACACCTGATGTTTCTATGGTGCCATGATGAACAACAAAGCCATCATCATTCAGAGACATCCGCGGAATCTACACAGTGAAAGCATAATGAAAACATCAAATCAACCATAGTGCGTTATATAGATAGCTATTCACAGTCACCTCACGACCGGCACGCCCTATGAAATACACATCGATTGGGTGGATGCGACAGGTGGCTGTGTTAAGTGACATGATCAAAGTCGAAAATCAAGATACGACGGTCGGGTGACTTGGAAAGAGTGGATGCACTCGGATTGTGTGGTTCAGTCAGGAATGAAGCAATGAATGTCAGACGCGATCCAATCAGCGGGAGCGCAATGCAATCGATGAGAAATATATTATAACCACTCACGTCGTCTGTTGCTACTATATATACACTATCCCCATCGCTGATGATTGTTCATGGTCGAAGTCACAGTGGGTCAGGCCCTGATCTCCGGTGAGCCTCCTACTACACCTACAGTGACAACTCCTTCTGTCTTAGCAATCCGTTGCCCACCCATTAGAATCAGATTTACACCTTTTTAGATAGCCAGTGTGTTGAATGAGCAATCCCATTCCTCAGCAGCCGATGACCCGGAACTTCTGCCACACCACATCAGCCACGTTCCACAGAATCCGGAGTCCCACAGTTCATCTTTGCTCAATCGGTGTGTCCAGTCATGCCTTTGCCTGCCGACATTCCGATCTCAATGTCTCGTCGTGTTAAAAGGATGGAGTCGAAGCCGCGACAAATTCGGTCATTTGGAGGTATCCATTTATTACCCTAGCCCCAAGGAGAACACCAACCATACACAATTCAGGGGCTGTCACGCATCACTCTACTTAGCAGAAGACTGACCGAGTTCGCACGGGTGGCAAATTGCGGGCAGGCAGTGAATGGGACATAAATGCCTAAGAAAACCATTCCATCACTCGCTTCACCAACTGCAAAACAAAGGAGGTGTTACCATATCCATACTGTGGTACATGCAAGCGATCACATGAGATAGTAACAACCCAAAAAACCATTTCAACACATGCTGGAATAAACGCACGACACAGCCACCCTGACCTCATACTTCCAGGGCATCACATGAAGTACCCCATCAAGAGAACTCCGCACACGCTACATTATCGAATTGCGTCTGTAGAGCCTCTTGCGGGCCGCGTCACGACCTGAGCCCATGTGGCGAGCGCCATTACGCATACCAATGCGTGCCATGTTCCTACTGGCATAGGCACGTATCATTTGTTGCCAGATACCATCGTTGGCAGCAATCACCGCCCTGCAATGCGTCACAGCAGAAAGTTAGTCAGTCCACGTGTTGCACACATCAATAAACATAAAGTACTGACCCTTGTCTTATCTGACGTCGAGATCTACGAACACGTTGGACACCGTTGGCATCACCGGGACCGACAACACTAATGCAGTTGACCTGGTACAAAAAGTTGAATGTCAGTAGTGGAATCACAGGAGTCGAAACAAAGCGGCATACACTACTGATCCACATAAACGACACCGAATCGTATCCTACAACTACCCCAGAGATATGAACAATGGCACCTTCTTGCCACATCCTCGCAGCACTCTCTAAAGACGGCATAGGGCAAATATGGTGTTTGGTAAACCACACAACAGGACTCTTTGTCTGCCAATATAAACGGTCAATATTTACTCAAACCGCAAGAAGAGTAAAAGTCGCTTACGATCGGATCAATATCCACAGATTTCAAGGTGATGGTACAGCCAGACGGATGGTCAGCATCGCCAGGAACGATCTCTTTACCAACTATGGTACCCAAAGCGGTGAGTGAGACTCTGTCGACAGCGCCACGGATCAAGTTCTCACCCACCGGGTAGACAGAGGTAACATCGAGAGAAGTGGCGCTGTCGAAGTGCAAATGATCCGCATTGGCGTCGTTTGAAGCAATCAATTTACAACTCATTGAGTACATGTCTCCGACATTGATTTCGTTTTGAGACCAATTGAAAGCAGTCAAGTTGACGTCGGTCGAAGTAATGTGGTTACCCTTCAGACCTGAAGTGTTGATGCTGGCGGTATGAGAAACGAATCCTCGGTTGCGCAAAGAGGTCTGCACAAACTATCATTGGTAACATGACATCAACATCACGAACAAAATAATTTGAAGGAGGATTTGAAAGTGGTTACCTCACGCCCAGCTCGACCAATGAATTGCAACTGAATAGGATGCTGTAGAATGCTGGAATTGACTATTGACATTATTACGGATGAAAGAGTGACTTCGAGGTGATTAATTGTGAATGACAAAAGAGTGTGTTGTAGCAAAAGAATGCACGTCGTGGTTGCGGCCGGGAACCTAATTACCTGTTCGTGGCCACCTTTTATACCAAGGACCGTTAGCCAAATCATGACGGCCATCACTACTGAAAGAGGTTGTTGCCGGCAACGACAAAGTGACACCGGTAAGCTGAGTATTGTCATCAGGGTCTCACTAACGTGCAGCTCACAATTGCTTTGCTCCGAGATTACCCTGGGGCCTCTCCACCAGATTCCGAACGTTTTCCGATCAAAGGATTCTGTCCCAACTGATCCACATGGCGAGCCACGTAGTGTCATCGAGCCCAGGGTCCACCAACATCGTCAATCAATATTCAGTCTTGGTGGCTTTGAATAACTTACTGCCGTCGAGGATGCCGATTCTCGTAACGGTGTTCTGCGGAGTTGATTGATCACGGAAAGTAAGTACCAAGGTTGGGGTCGCATTTTGAAACACTGGCTGACGCTTGCGCCCTTGGCGATGATTAAATATCTCCTGCCCAAACCCTTCACAATCAATGAACTTTGGGGGCCTTCTGTGAAATCCATGTGAAACGTACCGATGTCGTCATGTCACCTTTCATCAACGTTCATTGCACAGGGCCACAGCTTCGAATTTGGTAGATGGGCCTCCATCGCCGTCATGAACTCGTGTCAGCATGATCATGGAAAGTTGAACGATACTCATGACCTTTCCCGCTGTGACGGATGACTATAAATTGAGTCCACAAAGTTGTGTGTTGATCTCATTACCCCCAACCACATCATCAACAAAAAACGCGTTGATTATGCCTTCATCGCCAAATGCCGAGGTACTTTCACCTACCTTCACCTCTTATCTCTTTCTTTCCTCGCCCAGAGCTGAAATCAACCTTGTTGTTACAATTTCATTCCACAGACAAATGACACCCACCAAACGATGACTCCGCAGACACCATTTTGGCAGTCTTCTCCTCAGCGAATTCCACACAGATGCATCTTGCAAACACGTGAAGATTCAAATGATGGCTCCTCGTCATGCCGATTCCGGTACTACGTTTGCACTGTGTCCTATGAATTTCAAAATCGTGGACCCCCTCATAGTCATTTTACAATCATTCCTATGTTCCATTCGAGCCAATGAGTGTTTCATTGTTTGTTTCCAGTCAGAGAAACATTTTCAGACATCATTGTAAATACCGCTGTTCACTCGCCATTGTTAGCATTGGAGTCTCCATAACATGTCATTAACCAACCATGAAAAGTTTTCAGCTCCATCTGAGGAAGAGTTCACCGTCACCCATCGCATACCGTTGTACTTATACCGTTGTACTCATACCTCTTAGAGGCCGGACTGTTTCATGCCGTGTGATCACAATTGCAGTGCCAAGTGCTTTTTCCTTCCACATAATTGTTAATAGCTTCTGTAGCGTCATGCTAGGTAAGCGCGTCACACGCATGCTCATGAGCCTCATCTTCACTTCATGCAAAGCACAATGAGAAACGTTCGGCATGTCTACAACTGAACCATTAATGCAAACCACCCATAACTCCTCTCTGAAGCATCAAAGTTGACCTCGGTCTCGGTCATCACAAATTCTACCGCGTGGTTGACATGCAATGGAATTTACAGGTCAAGTTCAAATCCAAACCAAAACTTCCATCGCATTTGGAAATAACACAAAATCCCATTGAGCACGTCACACATTGACTAAATTATTGTTCAAAATCCAGAGGCTCATTTTCTAAAACATGAATTCAGACATCAAATAGAACACATGGTCTTGCCGGCAGCCCGCGTAAGTGTCGACTCCGACGCAAGTTGGGAACCAATCCGAACAGCAGGACCTCAGTTACCTATTGTAAACGAAGGACATGATGAGTGTAGTTAAGGTTTGAAAACGACGACGCAAACTGACGTTAACAACCCATTGAGCTTCATGGGCATCCCCATGTATCACATTGCCGACAAATTGCACGACATTGTCACGCTTTAATGCATGCCTGTTGAGCCACGTCACCTCCAAGTTACATTCATATATGATACGAAATTCAATCCAGGTCAATGTCTAAGAAAGATGGTCAGCCGATTAATAGAAAGATGGTCAGCTGATTAATGATTGATTTCGTCGTCGAGATCAAGGTTAGCTCACAGTTGGGTCCCAGTCTCTATGGATTGTAGTGATTGTCACCCCGTCAAAGACGCCTGCAGGTGTCACTCGACGGGCAGAGTCAATAATGCGGCCTACGCTAGTTACAGAGATCTTGTTTGCCAAGGATTTGACGCGGACTTCGGCGTCGTCAATGAAAATGGTGTTGTTGGGATTGACTAATAACACCGTGTCGGAACGGGCAGCCGTCATGATAACTGGACCTTCAATCCGGTAAGCATGTCGAGATTTGAGTACGGTCTCTGAAATCCCTTCGGCAAGCAAGAAGCGGAAAGATTCAAAATTTTCATGTTTTAACACGGTGTTGGTTTCGAAATACCGTTGCGCAACGTGTGCATACGGTGGGCCGTCGAACTAAATTAGGAAGTCAGTCTGTGTATTAAAACCAAAAAGTAGCATAGTCTACGCACTTTATCACCAACCCAGCAGATGCTGCTCCACCGCATTGGTAATCGACGGAGAATAAAGTCGCGGTCCATGGCCGCAAATGTAAGAGAAGATGAGGTTGATAAGGTCAATGAGACCTTGGAGCGACAAAAGATGTGCAGTGGTTCGTGCAACGCAACACTATTGACAGAATAATCTCAGAGATAGGAGAGGCCGAAATTGAATGTCGTTACAGCCATCTGTCGTATGGCGCTCTTATGTACGCATTTGCACCATAGAAAATTTCCTCGGCCACCATACTATCTCAGTAGGCGTGGCCAATTTCACCCAGTGAACCGTGTCAAATCTCAGTCGGTCTGCGATCAAACACCCTCAGCTACTTCATTCTTTTGTGAGGCATGTTAACAAATCTATATCCGGTCATAATACAACGCTTAGTGGTCCTGGCGAATACCATGAAGATTACTGAATCACACGTCAGATGGTTTACCACGACATACAATCAGCTTCATTCTTGCGTGAAGCACGTCGCCAATCCTGCTCGAACATTCGGCATACAATACTCAACACTCTTTAGCCCTTGACTTACCATCAGTGATACACCACTGGGACCGAGCAGATGTGTCACACATTTCCACTGATTCGGATCATCATTCTCGGTGCCTCGGCCTGTACCTGTCCTGATGTGAGTATCACGTCATTACAAACTCAGCAGCTGTGACTTCAATGAACCATCCAACAATTATCGACGGCGATCGGGAGACACTTCGTGTCAGTATCAACTTGAGGCAATGTTCCACCCACCGGGTTACCCTCCACTGCACAGGTCCTGTCCTATACATATCTCAAAAGGATAGTGAACAGTCTCAAAATTTTGATTCACGATTCAGGACTGAATCCGACCGCGTACAAAATAATGCGGTGCTTACCACCCAAGATACAGTTCCAGCCAATCCACAGGCAACATCAATAAAACGGCAATATCTTGTCGCGATGTTATAGCGATGGATGATAAACAACAAAAGTCATGTATGAAACTTGATTAAGACAATGTCAAAATCAGGCTCCACAAACGTCATTACTTCCATCATTATAAATAAAATGAGTGTAAGGTACCAAAGCGAATGTAAAAGAATGACAAATTTTTGAACCGACAGAGACCTTTGACACATTGATCCAGTGGGAATGACTTCCCCGGCAAACACGGCACAACATCGAATCATGATACACATATGCGTTCATCATCACTATCAGATAATTGAGGCTTTGAACACGGGTGCTGCAACAATCACATTATCGAGTTGCGACGACGTTATTGCTTGCGCTCAACGATCTGTCGGCCTCGCCAGGCTCCCACTCCACCTTTGTTCATCAAGCGGATTCTTTGTGGATCCCCGTGCTTAGCATTGTAACGGCGTACAAATCCCTGGTACCTGTGCGCATTGAGAGCATTCCTACCCAGGATCAAGGTCAGGATCGGTGCTGACATTGATTATCTGTTGATGACGATGCTCACCGTGGGTTACGTTGGAACTCTCTCTCCATCATGACTCGGGCTCCAGGAATTTGACCCTTGCAGATAGCGATGGAAGAGACCTAGGATAAGAATCAATCAGTAAGTGTCGCATGATGAGATGTAATCTCGCGCTCACCTCCGAGTGCCACATGAAGTCAGTGTTGTCATAACCCATCACCATTCCCGAAATCTGCACCTTCTGACCAACATTGAATATTTCATTTGGATTCTTTCCGTTTGGGCGTGGTAGCACATGATGCTTGCTAAGCCACTCAACGACGATTTGGCTCTAAGGAATTCCAGAGGTTCAGCGCAGTATTCCGAATGGAGTCAAGCGGAGGGGTGGAGTGGACAAAGAGAGCAGGGACTAACCACCGGATCCATATCAGCTGATTTCAAAGTCACAATCAAAGGATATACACCCATACCCCAATCTTCATCGGTTTGAAATTTTGACACAATGGTACCGTAAGCCGTCACAGCAACCTTATTTACAAAGGTATCGTTGGACCTCTGCAGAAAATCATCGCCGTCACCGAGATGCATGCGCGCGGCGGATGTGAAGTGCAATTGATTTAATTCGGCTTTGTTTGATCCTATCATCTTGCAGTTGATTGTATAAACATCTCCTTCTTTGAGACTGTTTTCTTCCATGTCTACAGCAACCAGTTCGATTGGTGTCGAAGCATTAGAGAGACCTCTTGATCCAGACGTTTCAATGGAGGCAGCGTGCACCGCAAAACCACGCCAATTCAAAAGGTCCTTCGCCACCTACAATTCGAAAGAGTAAGAATATTTGCGCGTTCTGAGTGAAGTAATCAGTGGAGAAAATAGTAGTCACGAACTTGTTTGCCAACACGGCCTATGAATTGAAACTGCATGTCTTGTAGGTCAAGGGGAACGTCTTGGATGGAGCAGAATGATAAGGAGTTATTCGCTTCAGAAGTGAAAAACGCAGTAAAGAATGTAGAGGCGAAAACAGTGCAATTCGCGATCCTACCACGGCTATATAGATCCTGTTACTGTCTCATCCTCCGCTTCAAAGATCAATACTATGCATGACAATGAAATCGGTTGCAAGGGTCCCCCTCCTCGCTCATCAACATAATGCTTCTGACGCCTTAAAACCCCAGGGTTTGCGCATTTGTAGTAGATCGGTCGCTCTTTGCGTACGACGCTTCGGACGGCACGATTCTTGCAATGCACCGCTGTGGTCTGCCTGGCTTTCACCTCTCGCGGCAATCATAGTAACCACCATGTATGGTTGCCATGAAGCCAACTTTCAAAGCCAAGTCTCACTGCCCCCAAATACGCATTCAGCCTCGCGATGATTCGCAAGCCTAGAGACACAACATATTCAATCTTGACAGCGAACGCTGTTGAACCCTGTTTTTTGCACAATTGTTGTCTTTTGCGGAGCGCAGGGCCGCGTACATATCCACCAAATCTAAATTTGATTGCAGCAGAGGAACTCAAAATCATTAATAACGGTATCTCATCGTGATGTAGCTAGTAAACTCGGTAAGAAACATGACTTGTGACAATGATCTATGCGACTAATGCTCATTGCGACAAACTCCGCGGCATCAACGGGTGCCACGTGTTAGTATATTCCTGAGGACAATGTTGACTGTGCTTCGAACGTCCTCCGATTTTGAAATACAAACACTGATACCTCCCACGTCCGTGCATCTTGACAGAGCAACGTAAAGTTGTCCATGCGAGAACACAGGACTGGGAAGGAACACTAAGACTTTATTTAGACTTTGACCTTGAGACTTATTAATTGTCATACAAAAGGCAGAGGCTACTGGAAACTGAAATCGATAGAATGGTAATGGGCACATGGAATTACCCGGGTGACGTAGATACATCCTTGGAATGCATACCTCCGTGCCCCTCCGCGGTCCAGTGATTATCCTACACGTTAACGTGGAATCACCGACTTTGACGGCTACCAATCTCGTCCCGTTGCAGAGCCCTTGTTTCAGATTCAAATTCCTGAGCAAGATGATTGGCATTCCAACCTTCAGCTTCAATATATGTGCCGGGAAGTTTGGTACGCAAAATGAGTTCAGGACTTCGGGGGTCAAGGGCTCGCAAGTTGTTGCCGGATCATTCGAATCCAAAGACTTCCGTATCTTTTCTTCACTGATAAGACCACAGATTACTTCTTCGTTGACCAACCTGACGGTTTTATTGAGAGGCGTGACAATGCACCTTGCAGCGTAGAAATCCGCGAGCGCGGTCCAATTCTGACGATGTATGTAATAATTTGCCTCCGCATAAAAATTGTTTGCCATCCGTTCGTCAAAAATGGATACTGGTGAGATCACCTTAATCTCAATGTGCTCTAAAGCTACCACTTCCGCAGTCGTATCTTGCAAGTCACCCGATCCAAGGGCCAATAACCACTTTGCATACTCGGCATTTCTTTGCGACGTGTCTCCAGGGCTTGCTTCACATCCTAATAATCGCACGTTCCGCGTTAAGGCGTATTGTTTGATAAGCCGCCAAAGATATGAGTTTTTCAGTGAAGCTTCTGCTTGCTCTTCAATTGTCAATCTTGGGATGACGGGTAGCGTCTGACGAAAATCCCCAGAGAAAAGCATTGTAATACCACCAAAAGGAGCGTCATTGCACCGAAGAGCTCTCAATGATCTATCGGCACAATGTATGTCAGCCTTGTTTTGCATGGATATCTCATCCCATACTATTACTCTACACTGTCGAAGTCTCTCTCCAAGTGAATCACAGGTAGAGAAAAGGCATATCGATTCCTCTGTGCTGTCAATTGGAATTTTTAACGCCGTATGCGCGGTAGCCCCCTTGTAGAGCAGCAGCGCGGCTATTCCTGAAGATGCCATCGCAAGGACCGGCGCGCCAACCACGTTACAATAATGCAAAACTGCATTTAACACAAAGGTTTTTCCTGTCCCACCCGGGCCGTCCAGAAAGAAAAGCCCGCCTTTCTGCTCTTGGATCGCCCGTTTGACATCCACAAACAACGCCAGTTGCTCGTCGTTCATTCTGTGGACCGCCGGTTCGAGATAAGCAAAGCTCTTGTCACTCGTCATTTCATCGTCATTGTTACTGCCTATTAACGTACTATATCCCGTCAATAAAGTGAGATCCGGCCGTGGCAGTGCGGTCCCTTTGAGCGTCAAACCAACTTCCTCTAAGGCGACAGACATTCGATAAAGCCCCAAGGTAAGCACCATCGCGGAGGTTGGTTCTTGCCGCGGTTGAACCTTCAACATAGAATGCCGACAGTCATCAGAGAGCGAGACCGAAAACATTTCCCACAATTGCAGAGGATCGCTCGGAGGGCCGAATTTGAGAATAAGGGCAAACATCGAGCGTAGTTGATATGCACTCTGAACCAATGCACATTCTTTCATAGCCGCTATGTAATGATTGTTGTCCAGAAGCAATCCGTGGGCCCTGGCAGCCTCGTTGAATGTGGGATAGATGACACCATCAACAGTCCTGAGGTGTTCGAATGATTCTGGACCCGGTACATGAAATAGCAGCAACCTCAGATAAAACCTTTCTCCCTGCGATATGCTGGCAAAATAAACTCTTGAGATAGTCTTCCAATCCTTTGTCCTGATTTTCCAGTGGTTGGTTTTTTTAACCCAACTGAAATACTTCACAATTTCAGGGTACGTGAGAGTGTTGATTGTCGAATTGATCTTTGGAACCTCCACTTTATTCTTGCACATTTCGCAGAACTCAGTCAAGGGCGACCGTGCTGCTCTGCCAGAGTCGATTTGGCGACGCAGCGTCTCCGTGCAGTTAAAGTACAAAACGTTATCAAAAGGCAGATGAAGAGGTAGTCGAAAAACCGCCGGATATCTTGATGACAGTAAGAATTGGAACAATCTCCAACAACCTAAGAACTCAGGTTAGATCACATTTCTATCCGTTGAATGGAGATGGAAACTAACCTTCGGTGCCAGTTAAACTGCGTCCATTTATGTGGACATCCAGCTCATTTTTTGCAACCATTGACAACGCAGCCCTGTCATGTCCCTTTGTAATGTACTTATAAAGGTACTTGAGAGCTTGCATACTGACAGCTACCTCAACATTGATATGACAGTTATATTTCATTAATAAATACGGATTATAAGGCACTACGTCTTGATTGGTATATGTATAGCCATTCTTGGTGAAGGTTACACCGTTGTCGGAGCGTCGATATGTCGGATAGGCGTCATCCGTCATAGTGGTATGCTCATTGAATGGCTTTGGATAATCGAAACAACATCTGTCGGTTTTCCAACACGGACTACCTTCCTTGCACGGACCGTGCAGCATGAAATTTGTCACCGCCTTGTATAGGTCAGGTTCTTTCACCCTATCGGGAATCTCAGCCCTGACCACCAAGTCAATATTATCTGGAGTTCGAGGAGCACCACCAGCTGCCATAATTGGTATGAAGTGTGCATGTGGGCGGCCACGGTTCTGAAACTTGATGGTATGGACATGCGAAATTCCAGGTCCCAGTCGTTCCTTATGATTTATATCCTCCATTAAGTCCCGCAACTTCAATTGAAAAACCCTAACTAAAATATCAGGTCTATTGATTGCAGTTTGACCATATCGGAGCTCGTCTTGTACTTCCTTCCAGTCGTCATTGGCTGTCATTGTAATGAAAAACATCGGCTGGCCATAATGTTGCACTAACGCCATAGCGTCATGGTAAATTTGCACCATGTGCCTTGCACCTCCGGTATGAGACGCGGGAAGTATGACTGGTCTACCGATCTGTTTAAAATCATTGCGGCCTAATGCTTCTACTGCGCCTGAGTACAATTCAGCACGTATTTCTTGTTGATGAAATCGGAACCAAGTGAGTCTTTGATTTTCAATGCAGGCGTAGAGATCCGTACACAACTCCTGGAGTAGCATGTGGGACGATAGGACGATTGAAAATTCTTGCGCGCGTTGGAAGAGCAGATAAGCAAACCATTGCAGAGTTGACACCGTCTTTCCAGTACCTGGTAATTATCGCCCAACAGAGTGTCATTAAAATAGCACATCAGCACCAATGTATTCAATCGCGCAAAGGGGATGCACTCACTGGGGACACGATAATATTCATCATATCCTGCCTGACCAAAGGGAAACAGAATTGGGTATCTCAAGGGGAGATATCCAGTGTGCAACTCCGAAATCCGCTTAAACTTCCCATCATTACTGTGCAAGATTATATCCCTATCACCCTCGCCTACGTCACCACCACCGCGAATCACCATCGCAACCTCTGTAGCTGATGGTCGTGCGTAAGTCCGGATGTCATGGCCGGCTGAGTTCTCTGCTGTTGCCGGAATTGATTTGAGTCTCAGCGAGATTGTCTTGTATTCCTTCATGATGTTGCCCGCGTGTTTAAATTGCTGTGCGTAGGGATTATACTTGTACATAAATCTCATGAATAGTTCCACCAGCTTAGGATCTATGGGGGATTGTGAGACCTTGACCCTGTGTAAAGCCTCAGCCGCTGGTGCGGCGTCCATCATATAAATCTGCGCAAATGCAGCCTTGCCTTTGGCGGGCTGCATTATTGTACCGAGATCATGATATAATTCCCCATCAATCTTGAAGCATCGAATGCCGTAGGGGCCATTGACCAATTGATCAATCTCAGCTCCCAATGAAGTAAAGCTCAACGCATTGTTGTAGCCACGGATATGACTACGAAAGTGTTCCGCTTCTATGAGTGGCATATAGTCAGCTACGCCCGGCTGATAAAAAGCTAGCCACAAACAACGCACGCGGTGTGTTCAGAGTCAACAGATCGATAAGGAACTGAGGAGCCGGTGGGAAATCAAAGTAATGTTCAGGTAGCTCGACCTTGCCACCCTGACAGCATATCGAGTACGCCAATCCTCCTGCAACCGCAGTAGTCCGATATTTTTCTCCCTTCCAATGGGAAGCATTACAACAGGCACAAAGCTGATCGCAAACGCCAAGCGAGTGGGGGATCTCTGACTTGAATTGGTGCTTGATGGAGAGTTCGTGGCCTTCAGCCGGAAATCGCACTGCTCGTTTGCCCATGGCAGTCACTCCATGGTATGTCAAATCGCTGGGAAGCGCGAAGCAGAGAGTCCAAGTTACAGTTGTGAGGTTTCTCGGTCGTTTGATATCTTCAGCGTTACAATCCGCTTTGCGTTCGTAATGTCAAGATGTCGATAGAAGCAGGATGTGAGTTGTCTATTCTAACGAAGGACGATAAATCGTGAACAACTTGATGTAGGCCTTGAGTCTGACCAATCAGTTTGTGTTTAAAATTTTCCAATGTCTCACCCTCCAATACCGGTACGAAAACAGAGACTCCCGGTGAGCAATGGCATTGGGCCACGCATGGACGTGGGTCTCACTTGGCCAACAAATATCCATCCCACGCAGCACCTAGTGTGCCACTTTCATATTTTCTGTACTCGAGTCTCGAGCCAATGTGCGTTCATAAGTAACTCCCAAGAATTTTCAGCATTTCTGTCGGGACTAAGTTGAACAGATTGCATAAATCTCGTCAAAGTTTTTCACTGAGCATCACCATGTGGGGTATGATGATTACCGATAATTTGTCTCTGCAAGGGTTTCCAGCTATTGATCCACAGGCAGTGACCGAGTTGAGTGAAGTTGTGGCGGAGAACGTGAAGCGGAACACCCAATGTCTATAATTGGGGTCTTGCGGCTATAAGTGGCAATGCATGAAGTCAATAAGGTTTTTTACTCCTACCGCAGAAGACTGACAACATTGGCAATAATAGCCGCTGACTTATGACCGTTGCAAAGCTTCAATGAGGACCTCGACTGATATTTAAGCATTGTTGCCGAATTCTCCCTGGCATAAAACACAATTGCACGCTAACCCAACAAATAACAAACGTATCAATTCAATTTGATTTCGGAATTCAAAGACTACATATAAAGGACCGCCTCGGATGGTACAACTCAAGAGGTGGAAGAACACCGATAAATCTAATGAGTGGAACGGTTGAGATGTTGTGATGGAACGTTGATTGCAGGAATGTGACTAACCTCACCAAGCAAGGGAACAAACAGATAGAGAGAAATAGATGCAGAAGGGATTACAAAAGCGCAAACACAATTGACAACTTGTAACGGCACCGCACGCAGTCGAGAGCACTTGTTCACCCCAAGCTTGAGCGACACGCCTATTCCCGACGACGCCATTCACACCTAACCACGACGGAGTCTCTTGCTCATGCCCAACACAGCACTGTCCTTCTCAAGAGCGTCGTTCTCAATCCCAGCGTTGGTATTGAGCCTGTTCTCAATGGCACCATCAACGCGTCTGCCCGGGCTGGATTCAACATCATCGAGCTTGAATTCATTGTTGTCAACAGCGTTAGTTGACGTACTGGCGACATTGGAAGCCAAACCACGTTTCCTGCCGGCAAAGCAATCAGCAATGCCCGCGATAATTCCAGATCGAGTAAAGCTCACCTTCCCAGCGGGATTTGGCCACCGTTTGGCATTCCAGGCTTGGTGGGGCTGGCGGCCGCACCAGTAAGGTGACCGCTGGTGACACTGATCGCATTGACCTATACAAAAATCAATCATCAACCATAGTGATGATCGCATCCCTCGGAAATGAAACTTACTTCAATTTCCCACATGTGATTGTTGGTGTCGTAATCTTTGAAAACCCCGACCAACTGGAGCTCCCTCCCCAATTGACAGAGGTTCTGAGCTTTCTCCAAGTTTCGGAGCGGCGGAATGAAGTGTTTCATTAACCAGCTGACAGGCCCCTTGGTCTAAAGAATGAGAGCCGTCAGTCATGGGAACGGTTGAGGGAATGCGGATTGCAAGACAATGAGTCGCTCACAATGGGATCATAGTCAGTCGATTTCGTGGTCACCACTACCGTTGGCTTGCCCTTGTAAACAGGATCCTTGATGATATCACGGGCAACAACCGTACCCAATGCGACTATGCTGACCTTGTCCATCAAGCTGTCACAAAAACTTTCCGGAAAATTCTCAGTAGGGCCCCAGTTGATGCGGTGGGCGTTTTCAAAATGTAAATGATCATCACGTTCGTCGTTTGAACCGATGAATTTGCAACTCATTGAGTAAATGTGTTGCGGGATCAATGCTTCGGCAGTGGAGCCGTACGCAGTCACATTGATGGGGTTAGCAAAGTCTTCACCACCGTTCATGCCAGAAGTGGAGATCGATGCGTGATGAGATATAAAGCCCTTGTTCTTGGAGAGCAGAGCCGCAACCTAAAGAAACATGTCAGGTAGTTGACACAAACAATGTCAGGGAACACATAAGGATGACGAACTTCAGCGCCAGCTTCGCCGGTGAAATAGACTCGGATTGGATGAGAAATCGTGCGTGATTCAGAGCGAGACATGATTGACAATGAAAACAATGAGTAAACGTTATGGGTTTAAGTGCTGTTAGGGTACTGTGGAAGCGAGATACTGCAACTGGATATGCAATGTCAGTGTGATAATGAAAGGAATTATTATAAATGAGTGTGTAGTCCAGTGAATGTCTATCTGCAGCTGACTTCTCCTCCGCCAGACTAAGAGGCCATGCAATGCCTTATATACGCATGCTAATGCTTGCACCGGAACTTCGAAGACATTGGCTGATGCTTCCAACGGAACCTCGAAGACATCGCCTGGGGGGTCGCCCTGATTGGTTTGAACAACATTCCATGGGAAAGTGTATTCCGAATCGGTGGTGAAGACTTCGCCCCAGCTGAAACGTTTGCTGGAATGAAATTCCAGAAACGATTGTACGTACTGACTGCCGTGAATTGTGGGAGGAGACAACCTGCGGTCGTGCCAAACTCAGGCTGACAGATTATAGACGTCAGCATCGAACCATCGCAGTAACATTCCGGGAGTAGTGTATAGCCATGATCTTTTTGAGCACATTGATCAGGAATGTTGTCCTGACGTGGGGAGGGTCCTCCCGGAAGCCACGCCAATGAAGACAGATGTCGTGGGTCCCGATCCCAGCCAGGTTGTTCGACGATTAAAATCGCTAACACCACTGCTTTTGACAGTCGATCCGGATGGCGACGAACGCTATGATGGTGGTAGAAAGCTTAGGATTGTCTCGTAAGACCAAGATGAATACGTCGGTAATGGCAACATTCCGGGCGTAGTGTATAGCCATGATCTTTTTGAGCACATTGATCAGGAATGTTGTCCTGACGTGGGGAGGGTCCTCCCGGAAGCAACGCCAATGAAGACAGATGTCGTGGGTCCCGATCCCAGGCAGGTTGTTCAACGATTAAAGTCGCTAACACCACTGCTTTTGACAGTCGATCCGGATGGCGACAAACGCTATGAGGGCAATAGGAAGTTTAGGATTGTCTCGTAAGACCAAGATGAACACGTCGGTAATGCCGCTTTCAAACGCTGATGCCTTGGTATGGAAATGATTGCATCATTGTGGCGGCGCCCTGCTATGCGAAGTATCGATATTCGACGGACAGAAAACAGCGATGGGTTCACAGAAGAATGGGATACGCCGAAGGCAAGCATGTATACAACGTGTGATGCTGAGGGCGAGTATCACACGCAGATCAGAGAGTCCGGGTTTGGGGCTAAGGTCACGGGGTACCGGGCAAAGGTCTCGACTGAGGAATGTATTTTTTTCAAAAACATCGGATTTCCTTCTTTATGTGTGATCTTCAGTCTTGGTCCTTTGTACAATTGGTGACTCTGTGGTGACTGATGTTGAAAGGTGTTGTTGTTGTATGATGTGTGAGCAGAGTATTGCTTGAGGGAAATCAGCAAACATATTGCAAAGAAGTTGTGAACAAAATTCACAAGTCAAGGAAACTTCAAACCTGGACACCAAAATTTGGTTCAATTGGGTTCTGAACTGATTACTTCCCGTGGTGTGAGATTAGTTGATTTTGTTCATCTACTATCTGTGTAATAAGGGTGCTTTCCTTGATGAAAAAATGTACAATATGTGCCTTATGTGGCTCATATTTTTTCTCTTCGGACCATGCCTGAATCCTTGGTGTGGAAACAGATAAAGGGGATTGAAGGATGCTCCCTGCAAAACCGGACGTTGTTAATATTATGAATCCTTGAGATTTTTAAGGAAAAAAATTATAATTTGATGTATTGATGTCAAAGTAACCATTACCTGTGTAGAATAAGTTTGAGGACTGTAGATGATGATGATTTGAAGTGGATAAGAAAGTGATTGGATTAGTTTGATTAAAGATGATCAAACTTTGAAAGAAAAGACTTACATTGGATGAGGTTTAGGTTGAGATTCAGCACGGGGAGTAGATTGAGTTTGCTTTGAAGGAGAAGAAGATTGTTGAAGTCAATATTGATAAAAAATCTTTGATTAGGTGGTAGTCGGGAAATGAGTCATGACTGGCAAACCAAGTCAAATCTGTGATTGGGACTATGTACCATCATAAAAAGTCAGAAACATTAAGTACTCAAAACTATCAAATTTTTGAGCAGGTAAGGGGTTTTGCCTAGTTTTGTTCAAATTGATGGTTCTCCTTCAATGTTTATGATATGAATGGGTTTGATGATGGCTGATACTATGAAAGGGACTATTATGTGTGTATATATGCTTTGTACATACAGCAAATAGACAGGGCATATCAAGGGTAACCTGTGAACCCATTGTGAACATATTGTGAACCAAATCCACAATTGAAGGAAGTTGCAGACTTGGACACTGCAACTTCCCTCAATATTTGGGTTTTGAACTAATCCTTTCTTGCGGTGTGACAAAACTCCTGACAACAGATACTGCGGCTTTCCACATTTCAAGTAAATTTCATCACATGTTGGTGTTGTGAAAGGCAGTGAAACATCTCAAGGACTTGTGATGAAACTCCAGACAGACAAAACAGGATAAAACCTGTCCTTGAGTTATGGGTGAAGCCGGGGACACACTTGGCGTTTTTTTTTTAGTGCTTTTTGCTTTTATTGCATACAACACTAGCTAAACAACTTAAATTAGAGAAAGACTATTTTACCTTGGAGAGACGGCCATATAGTCGGAGCAAGGGATTGTGTTGACTTTTTGGACTTCAGATTATGAACTAGTTTTTTTTTTAAAAATTTATGACCACATTGTAATTTCCTCGTATTGAGAAACTTTTGTGTTGAAATGTGAATGTTATTATCTTTCCTTAAGGAATTGAGATAAATGAATCATTCAGAGTTGGAATATTGAATATTTGTAACTTTGTTGTTAATCATCTTTAGGCATTTAGCACCCGAAGGAGGCGATGATAGGACCCCGGAAAGCTCCCCTTAAACCTCCCGACGTGTTTGGTATGATTTGAGTGGTCAAGATTTGGTCATGTTACCGACCAAACTGGTATGAAAATGGTTTGTTAGTCATTTATCTTACAGACGTGCCCGGTATGATTTTCAAAATCTCATCTTCATACCAACGTTTTTGGCACTGAATGGCACCAAAACATAGCTTTGTAGCCCGGGGCTCACTTTTGGTACTGAAATGTTACCGACCAATTTGGTATGAAAGCTCCAAAAGTCCGGGATTTTTGGGTATGAAAATCCTCAAAATCCGGGTTTTACATCGGTTGGTTCAGGGGGAGCTTTCCGGGGTCCTGCGATGATCCTCTGCTTCTTTGCGTCTATGTGTGCACTAAGCACTCCCAGTTTTGGGATTCAGCGTTGAAGGTGCAAGTCATTTAGACTACAAAATTCTTCTGGTTTCACAACATTGCTGAGCAGGCATTTGGTCCTCCTTCCCAACCCCCTATCCTAGAGTCAACCGGAGTCACGGGGGAGAAGGGAAGTTGCTTGTGGTGTGAGGTAACAGAGATGAACCGTACCAAGTTATTGGATGGACCAAACAAGTACTTGTTTGAGCTAAGCATGGATCTGTCTCAGTGGAATTATCTCCACCGGACCCTTTAAATGGGATTGAACAGTCCGAGACCCTTGTTCTGCGGCTGTTCTCCTTGGTCTAGGTCCTGTATATAAGAATGGAAATGCATAAATCTTTTAGTTTCTAGTATGTAAGTAGCTAATAAAGGAAAAACTTTTGGAGTATCCAGCAATTTTGTTGTATTGTTCCAATTGACCTTGACACCCTCCTCTTTTATTCTTGTCCTTAGTCGTTTTCTTGCTTTCAAATATCTCCTGCAATAAAGTAAAAAGTGATGACTATTTTCGATCATTCCACACTTGGCACAATTTGGGGATTCAGTTAGGTTTCGTTTGAAGAGGTGAGCATTCAGCGGACTGTGGCCCGCTCTAAGTTGACAATTTGTGGCTGTTCCTCCTTTTTCAAGACCTGCAAGGCTTTCAGCAATCAATTTAAGGTTAGTAGTAAAGGCATTTTTCCCCGGTCTAAAAGGAAAGTCTTTAACATCGAAATTTTCTCTTGTTCTCTTTTTCAAACTACCAATGCTTGTGGGCAGGGGTGCAGGGTTGACTGGGTTACTTAGCGGTTTGCCAGGGGCTTATCTCCGCAGGAACTCAAAAGTCACTGTTGAGGTTCAATCAACACAAGCATACAAGTGCTGTTTCCTGGATTATGCTTATGGCAGATTCACCCCAATCTTCTTACATATATATACAATAACAAACTATCTTCGATCAGTCTTCTTTTCCTCATCTATGAAAAGAAGACTGTGAGTGAACTCCTTTTCTTTATTCCTTATTCTTGATCTTTGTGACCTTATCTGACCTATGTTATCTTATCCTAGTCCTAGTTGTTATCTTTGTTAGACCCAAGATAAGGCTCTGAGATATTCTGTTTCCCCAACTTTGGTATTTTTCATTATCTATGAAAAGAAGACTTCCTAGTTGTTATCTTTGTTAGACCCAAGATAAGGCTCTGAGATATTTTGTTTTCCCCAACTTAGACCGTGTTCCAAGACTTTCTCAGTCAAATTTTACATCAGTATTCCTTATAGGAGCATACCGGGGTCCTGATGGCGCCCAATTTACCCATCCTGCTGCACATATGTAGACTGGGTGCTATGGCTCAGGTGTGTAATGATCAATGCTTTATGACCAATTATACTTACAATCATTTTCCCGTGCTCAATTGAAGAGTAGTTGAAAATGTCTACAAGACTTGGAATACGGTCTGTGATAAATGTTCCTGTGACAAAGAGGAACTGATATGTGCTATAAGTTAGATAAGGATCACTTGAAGTTCTCCTGTTATAGGAATGAACTCTGACCTGATATGCGCTATAAGTTAGATAAGGATCACTTGAAGTTCTCCTGTTATAGGAATGAACTCTGACCTATAATGTAGATAGATTTGATAAAGTAGAGCACACGATGTGAAGGTGAGCTCTCAGTGATCTAAGTGAAAGATAGGTTTCTCTTTCCAAAGATTATTAATTACCTGATATGTGCTATAAGTTAGATAAGGATCACTTGAAGTTCTCCTGTTATAGGAATGAACTCTGACCTACAACAAGTAAGAGAAAAATACAAATATAAATATGACAGATAAGTCTCGATTCTTCTATTATTGATAACAAAAGTAAATACCTATAATGTAGATAGATTTGATAAAGTAGAGCACACGATGTTAAGGTGAGCTCTCAGTGATCTAAGTGAAAGATAGCTACAATGTTATAACAGTTAGTTGGATACATAATATGAAAAGGTTCTAAGATAGGATACGTACGTTTCTCTTTCCAAAGATGAGGAAAGAGAAAACGTTACAAATGAAGAGTAACTATCTTATAAAGGCTTTCAGATACATTGACGTCATAGTAAGTGTTTTCATTTCGTCATAGCTTTCGTAACATGTAATTAGTTAATTGTGACTCCTCGCTTCTAATCTTCATCTTCTCATCCTGAGTCGATTGGACACCAACAGTAGTTGCTTGATGTTTGCAGTGAAGCCGAGAAAGTTTTGAAATCAAAGTGGCTATATTTCCCCGGTGGTTTTGATCAAAGTTCACGAGGAAGAGGAATTCAAGTGTCTGGAATCTGGATGCACTTAATTACTTGGACTGCTTTGATGGTGTTGAGTTGGGATTCAGTTGTTAACGACGAAACCAAAAGGACGGCATGGGCGTGACCAAAATAAGTTTACTGAAATGTCTGACATGGCTCGTCACCCTCGACCATTTCAAAGACCCGCCAGATGTCCATCCCGCTGGGTCTGAGACCTCAGCTTTACATCTGCTTTGACTGAATGTGACTGATTCTAAAAAACCCTGAGTAGAGTAGACTAGTTCTCTATGGGTCGTTTGAGGACATGATCCCGCTCAGGCTCACGGGGTGCTCACGCGCCCTCGGCTCAAGAGGAGTTTTGTTAAGCCCATCCACAGGGTGCACATGGGTCTTGCGGCTCAGCCTAGAGCATCATACCAGCGCTTGGGTTCACTAAATCGGGACGCATGATGCGTTTCCGCTTGAGCGGTTGCAAAGGCAGTCCCGATAGTCATGTGGCCGGACGACACTGGCGTGATCAGGCCGAGATTGACCGAATTCAGTTCAATCAAGACCCCACTCGCCGCCCGATGTAAGCTTATTAGGATGTTGAACCCCCGACAAACCCAACATAACTTTCTTCCTGGCATGTCATGTTTGTTTTCCTTCACAAACCCCAGTGTGCCTTTTCTCCCTTGAAATAACGTGTTGTAAGCGCTGTTGAGAAACTCCTTATCAAGTTCGACAAAGATGGACCCTCATTCCAAAGCTTCCCTCGTGCCTGCGCGTCCACTGCAAGGGTTCTTTTTTGTATATCGCTCAGGAAGATTTGAAATGCATACATTGTTCAATTTGGACCCCTCTATTATTCTCTCAAGTAAAGGTCTTGACCCCATGAGTAGTCGCAACGCTGTCAGGACTAGCAGCCCGGAGACGAACCAGACCCTCGGTAATCCTTGTGATCCCGGGTTTCTTTTATCTCACCCTAGCCCAATATATTGTGCGAGATTGTAGAGGAATATAAAATGTCTGTTAAACTAACCCTTGAAATCTCGACATAATTTCCTACCCAGTGCCTATCAATAGCCGGATCTCAAAATCCAAAAATCTTAACCCTCTGTGTAAAGCTTCATATACCATTTTTTTTTCTCGTTATTCTTTTGAAAACGCCATCAACATCATATAATCTCAGAGCAATAGTTCAAAAATTCCATCAAACCACTTCAGAAAAACATGTTTAAATCCTTTTTTGCCGTAGTCCTCTGTGTAGTCTTCGCCAGTGTCTCTCAGATCGCAGCCGACAGGGATCCATCGGGAGCGTACATTAGTTCTGGGAGTAAGTTTCCTTTCCTCTTCTTGACAACGAGGCTTCATGAAGTCAACCGGCTTGATATGAAATTAACAGATTCGTTCACATCTACGTAGAGACGTGCTCACAAGCCTGGCTTCCACCACTGCCGAGAAGCCACGACAGAGGAATTAGTAAGAACCCTCTGTGATGTGTGACTATGTACCTCAAAAAGATTTATCCCAAATCTCATGACGCGTCTCAATTCTTCCGGTCTTTTGCTCGACAGACTGCATCGGCGGTGGTAACTGGTACGTGTGTCAAAGAAGCGGAGTTGCTCAGGAGTACGGTCGAAAAGCACCTAGTTGAGTGCTTTCTAATACACACATAAGCGGGTTGAGCGTGGAATCTCGGGTTTCTCACCTTCACCTGTTTCACCACTTCCTCTCTGTCTTCACAATCACAAAGGACTGATTGATTTTGTTATTTGTGCTCTTTGCTTTGACTTACTTCAGATGGTAAGGTTTGTACCAGTAATGGGGCCAGTATCAAGGACCAAGTGTGCATTGGAGGCTTTCAAAGCTTTAATGGCTTTGGTAAGTCAGGTTTTCTATCAGTTTTAATCCCATCTCACTTGATCTATAAGATTTCTTTTGGGTTGTTATTTTGACTTTTTATGGAATTCTTTTCAACAGTCGAATGTTTTCCGGACGCCGACAGAAGCCGAACCGTCCGTTGCAAAAGTGTAGAAGCAATGTGTATGTTATGATTCCGTCTTGAAAACCCTGATTCAAAGCCCTTTTTGAGATTTGATCTGGTGACTGATATGTACTGGTTTGGTTTGATCTCTTGATAATCAAAGTTGCTGCGGGGGGTGATTGTGATAAATGAGGAATAATTTCTTGACTTTCAACATACGCACATGTCTATTGTGTTTGATTGCCTGTTTTCTTTCTTTCTTTGAATAATATTTGTACCAGATTTTAGTTCTTCCCTGTGGAAAGGCATGTTGCGATCTGAAGGCGGGTTTCTTTTCCTTACTCTTCCTTCCAATCAAGCAAAGACTTGTCTCTTTCCATCTGATTCCTACCTTGTGATTGTAAAATAAATCCATCTCATTGTGTTTTCAGACTCGAAGGCTTGTGTGGGTCCGACCTATCTGTCACAGTAAGCCTCGATGGTAAATAAGCTTGAGGTCCAACTGGCAATGTATTCACGGCCGGCAACCAGTTGGCTTTCTCAGCTTTCTCAGCTTTGCTCAAAGAGATCGACTGAAACTCTAACAGCCTGAATGGTCAACAACTGGACAAATCACTGTGCAAAAAAGAGAAGGGTTTTTTTCACACCTCTTCAAACTTATCCAAAAAGTAAAATCCGTGATTATAATCCTCGATTCTTCTACATATGTGATGAAAGAATCATGATGAATATAAATTCAAAATCATCTAACCCAAGAGTTTCCAAAAATAGATTTTAGAAACGATGATATCTAACCGGTGATGATGACAATCCGAATCAGAAGAAGACCTGACAAACCAATACATATATACCAACAAGATCATCCGAAAAAGAACCTTCATGCAAAAAAATACAACAAGAAATATCATTGAACAAAACAGTTCATGAATCTAAACTTGAGACTAATTCAGTTAATCTTTCCAAGTAAGGATCTTTAACACCTTCCCAAAGTTTATGAACTTCAGTATTCAAATTGTACAAGTAATCCTACAAGATCCAATAGAAAGAAAATGATCAATCAATCATCAAGAAGATCGATTCCAAAGATAAATGAGACTTTACCTTATTAGGTCCTGAAGGTCCTACACTTTTATAAATCAACTCTGATAATTCATCTAAAGGAGTCACACCAGCAAAACTAGGATTATCAGTATGACCAACATAAACTGAAGCCTGCAAAAACAATCCAATCAATCCGATCAGCTTCATCCTTGATCAAAAGAAACAAGATTCCAAACCTTTGTAAGAAGACTCTCGTTTCCATCTGTTTGATTGTATACAGAGACTTCAATCATTTCATATCCATCCTTTTCTCTTTCATCTAAATACTCTTTGACTTCTTTTTCATAAATCGGATTGATGGTATATACTACTCCCCAGACTACATTTGATACAAACAAATCTGAATCTGTTAAGCTTGTCCATTCTTCTGTTGGTACTAAGGTGACTACTCTACCAGGTTTCTTTTTTTCATAAAGTCAAAGGTAAACATCTTTGATCAGTTGTTGTATACAATTGGTTTTGGACCATAGCTGAATGTGATATTGGATCCTTACCTCGATTGTACCTCTATGATCATGTGAAGATTCTTTACATCAAAAAATTAGATTCATCGAATTGTGCAATCAAAAGAAACACAGAACCAAACAGAACCAACAAAGAATAACCAAATCAAATAAATTACTGAATTCAAATCAAACCCAAATCCTAATCAATGAGAAAGTTTGTGAGTATGATAGACTTACGAGCAAACCGACGAACAAAGCCTTTAATAAATCCAATCTGACGATCAACAAAATGAGGTGGAGGTTTCCAAATCAAAGCTAATCGATCCAAACCCCCATCAACACCATCGTTTTAAAAATAATCAAAACCATCATTCACAGTCATATCAAAAAGATGACTTACATCCATACCTAATCTTTCGAAATTATTACATGTGTATCAGTTCAATTGAAATCAAAAACAGACCAAAAAAAAACAAGAAAGACTTACCCAAAGATTTTGAATGGATTCGAATGCTGAGCCTTACTTTCTAGGTTATAATCTTCATTAATCATTTCGTTAATTTATCGTTCGTTCATCAACTGTTTCTTTTGGATAATCCCTGTGTTCTTTTTGATCGATATGATATGTAAAATATCTCTGATCAACTGCGGCACAGTCATCTCCCCATCGCTTATTAGGGCGTCTCAAGTTGAAAGTTTTTGACTTTCATTTCACACTTGGACCCTGTTCGTATTTTTCATTTACTAGCTCCAAGTGATCGAATCAAACAGAGGCTTAGGGCCTCTGAGCTCAGGTAACGATAAGCGGCTCGTGATGCTGGAACACGAGGCCCCAGAGGAATGGCCCTTTTTGGGCCATTCTAAACCCATGATATATGCTGAGACTTATGTTATGTACACGATTTATTATGTGGTACTTAGCGTAATCTGTGGTACCCCTTTTCCTTCTCTTCTCAGCCATTTTCCATCTTTCCATCTCATCTGTCTATTCAACTTCAATTGCACCAACATGTGCGTTCACTATGCATATGCAACGCTCTCAATCCTCTCAATCAACCTCCGAGTCACATTCTCCCTCTTTCCCTTACAACAATACTCAAACCAACAACTACAGCCAGGCACCCTACATATTCACCCGATATACGAGCTCTCCTTTGCTCCATCAACGTGAGCCGACTCCAACTGGTACCTCTTCTCACAATCACTCTTTCGATCGGCGTGGCCCAACTCCGACCGGTACCTACCTTTCTCCCTCTCCCAATGTTCATCAACAATCGTTTACTGCCCAACCGGCACCGACACCGACGAATTTCATACATCACAGTAACCATCAATCAATTGCCCCGATCATATTGCCCAGGCCATTGCTTAATCTCAATCCCTTGTTAAATCAATCCCAACCTCCTCCAATTACTTTCAGCCGCTACGTCCATCAAAGTCAGAGCAAGAGCAATCATTATCAACCATCTGATCTGATCATATCGCCAAGCCCATCAGTCAAGTCCCTTCCATCTCGCGGCGAGTCACAGCCAAATTTAACGCATAGCCCATGTTTTGAAAGACAAGATTATCTGAACATAATCGATTATCTCTCAAATCCAAAGAACTACAACATATTGTTTGGAGCTGGAAAGAAAACGGAGATCAAGGGTCAATCATTGAGTTCTACTGGGTCTTGGGATGTCTTCGCCACTCACATCAATTCACTGTACAATCAACGCATGAAAAATCCTTCAAACTCAATGGCACTAAGCGGAAGTGATCTTTGGCAACGTTTCATCAGATACCGCCGCGCGTACGCAGTCGCAAAGGCCAAGGCCAAACGCACCGGCTCAGGTGTCACTGACAAAGACCGATTGGAAGGGATCAACACAACGACACTCAAAGGAGAGGCTAATTGCCCTTGTTTCGATGAGATGGATGCGCTTTTTGGTGAGAAAGCTAATATCACTGTGTTAGGTACAATGGACAGTAGCCTAATTACAACAGATGTGGAGGATTCGGGCTCAGAAGACTCTGACATCGAATCTTTGACTGAGCTCAACAAGGACAAGCAACAACGTGAGTTACAGAGTTACCCATTCAATCGGCGATTTCTGACATCAACTCATTTATTATTTATCTTTATTCTCATAGAATCAAATACTAAAGTTCTCCCAACTGTGATGAGTCGCACTTCGACTTTGGCCAGAGTCATCGACAAAGGAAATGGTCATCAGTCATCGGGGGTAGTCCAAACTCCAGGTTGGTTGACTAACTATCAACTCATCAGTTTGATCTAACTTCTATTTTTGGTTGGATCACTGACTTTTTTCTCTAGGTCTCATTTCTGATCTCGATGAAGTCTTTCAACCTCTTCGATTGACGGTAGAAAACTTGAACAGTTTAATGGACGATCCTCCGAGTGTTTGGGATAACATCCCTATCGCTAAAAACCTGTCACCGGCCAGTAATCCTTCCAACGTCCTTCCGCTGCCCTCTGAAGATCCCATTCCAGGCAACTCGCAATCAGTCAGCGAATCTCGTTCGTCCGTCCCCAAAAATGATCAACCTAAACGTCAAATTGCAACTACGCGTCAGTCAAAGACCAAAGAGAAGCCAGATTCAGATTCAGCTCTTGCAGCAAATCCTAAACCTCCCATTGTAGCACCCCCGAAATCAGAATCAAAGAATCCGTTGGCACAAGCCCTCTTAGCAATCAGCCAGTCGAAGGCACAAATGTACGAAGTCACAAATAAGCGGGAGCTAGACCTGGAGGAACGTATGATAGAGAATGAAGCAAAAAAATTGAAGAATGAAGACTATCGAATGTTGCAAGAGATCGCCGCTGACAAACATAAGCAGGAACAACAAGAAAAGAAGGAGAAGCAAGAAGAACTTGCGGTCAGCTTACAACTTGCTTGGGATAAAGAAAAATTTCTCCATGAAAAACAGGAAAGAGTTCAAGACAAACGTATTGAACAGATGAATAGGTGGTTAGCTGAAGGGAAGTCGGTCGCAGACGTAGGACTGCTTTTGGAGATGAGTGGTTTGGCTCATCCCAAGGAGCCAAGCAGTTTGGCTCAGCCATAAAGTTGGATCATTTCATATCTTTTTTCTGTCATGTTTTTGCTCGATTGATTTTCCACTTGTCCTTATCCTTGTCTCTTTTTTTTCCCAGTTTATGTTTAATTCACTTCTGTCTGTCATTCATCAATATCTCGTTCCTCTTGTCTTATCCTTATCCTCATCTGTTTTTTCTGTCATGTTTTTGATTTTCCTGGTTTATGTTATTTCATTCACTTCACTCATTAATAACTCCAGTTTGATGCTGTGTCGCCAGTTTGTATCCTCATCTCACAATTCATCTCACGATATGTTTTTTTATTTAATTGCTTTATGTTTTATTCACTTCACTCATTCTTTTGATGATGTGTAACCCCTTTTTGTTCTATTCTCTCGTTTAGTCTTGTATTCATTGTATCCAATTTCACTACACTCGTTAATCAATACCTTACACTTGTTGATACATTTTTTTGGCCCCATCGTTTCCCAGCTCGCCTCGGTCATAATCTTATATTTCCAAGAGTTGATTGGATCAAGGTGCCTTGATTGCGCACACCCCTTCAATGAGTAGATTTCCCCAAGGAGTTCTTGATTGCGCGCGCTGTAAACTTGAATTGATACCTTTTGAAAAAGCTTGATCAGGAAACTCGATCAAAGGCTGAAAGTTGAATATCGATCACGAACTTGATAATCAAACTAAATCAAAGGCCAAACAACACCATGGAATCAAGCTGTATGTCCACCTATCCACCTTTCCACCTCAAGATCAACCGTCTATTGATGATGTCATCAAAATATCTTGGCACTGATGTAATTCACTATTTAAGTCAACATCATCACTTATCTGCTTTTTCGTCACCTTCACCTTCATAGTCTGTCTCTATTTTTGTTATACTTGAGTTTCACTTTCTACTCACTCTATTCACATCAAGTCTGTCTCTCTATATTTTCTACTCGAGTTTCACTTACAACCTATTCTATCTCGATCTTCATCTACCTTCAAATTCTCTATCTAACTATTTCAGCGATGAATAAATATGAGTCTCGCAGTCGATACCTTGTGGGCATCATCTCAGATGAACTCGAGGGCAACACCAAGTTGCCTCGCTCGAGTTGGAACAAGATAACCAAGCAGTTTAACAGCAAGTACCCTGGCGGGTTCTCCGTTTCGTTGTTGAGACACCATTTTGATCGTGTAAGTTGCTGTGCTCGTTATTTGATCTCATCCAATCAATTGAAGAGATTTTTGCTTGAATGTAGCTTGAATTGCATTGCGACATTCTTCGGAGCTTTGAAAGTCATCCTGAGTTCAACTTGATTGAAGAGATAGGCTGGGTAACCGCATCCGAGGAAGCATGGAAAAAACATCTCCAGGTTGGTCAGGCTGGTCGACTTCTTATTGTCCATATTTTTTCATATGTGTCTCTCATCATTCTCATAATGTCTTTTGTTCATCATTTCCAGCTTCATCCTGAGGCACAGCTTGTACGAGGTCGTGAATTTCCTTTATTCAACACCATGAAAGAACTCAACGTTACACAACCGGGTCGTAAAGCAGCAGCATTTAATCGTGAACTTGTTAAACCAAACTGCGATGTTAAAGAAGCCCTTGAAGACTACACAACTCTGCAGAGCCATGAAGAGATGCTGAGTGGGGTTTTAGGTAACTTTTTTTTATTTACATCTTACTTTGGGATTGTAGTCTCCACTGTGTTGACCAGAAATTTCCTGCTCGGGCTTGGTGTTAGATCTAGATAATCCACTTGTCACCCCCAGCATTGTATACGAGCTCATCGTCAACAAGTTCAGGTATTGGTACTAGATCATCCACCACTAGATCTAGTACCAAGAGATCGAAACAACAATCCAAGCCAGTAGTGAAGAAGGCGAAAATTACGCACAAAATCTCCTTCTCCTTCTCTGAGATAGCATTGAAACTAATCGAACGAGAAGGAGAAACCAGAATTCCATCTCGGGTAATTTGTCTTAGGGCCCCTCGTGTGATGCGATCTGAGAAAGCGAGCCTTCTATTCTTACACCTTGCTGATGATATAAGATGGGCCTGGCTTGCTGATGAGGCTGAGAAGGAGCAGTACGATGCTCGATCAAGCCAAGTTTTGGCTGGTGACAACGATTTTTTCCACTCTTATTTGACCAGTATGATGCTTGAGTAGCCCAACACTTCGCGTGTGATCCTTTCATCTGAATTTTAGATCATTAATCTATTATCTTTCATTCCTTGGATTCTCTTTCACTCGTTTACGTTGGATTCTCGGAACAGAAATGATTACCTTTCTTCTCAATCAAACTTTTTTTAATACGTCTTTCACTATCACTATTTTCGATTTTACTTTGTGTAGCAGGTAATCTTAATCCTATTATGTTTCATTCCTTGGATTCTCTTTCACTCGTTTACGTTGGATTCTCGGAACAAGAAATATTACCTTTCTTCTCAATCAAACTTTTTTAATCCGTCTTTTGCTATTTTCTATTTTACTTTTTGTCAACCTGGTAATCTTAATCCATATTTTGTAATTTTAATGTTTGATGTATGTTCAACACCTTATACGTAATTCATTTAAAATCCAAATTGTTGTCGAACAAACTAGAGTTTACAAATCTAAACATCAATCTAAATCTCAAACAAAAAAAGGTCCAAAAAAACCGTTGGCAATGTACAAAGCATAAGCATGATGATTGAGAAAGTAAAACAAAATGACAAAGTAGGAATGAAAATAAATTTTAAGAAAAGAAACAAAATATTAAAAGAAAAACTTGACAAAAAGAAGTCACCAGCTTAGGCCTTTATTGGAAGGACACCGGTATGATAATTGAAGGGTACTGCATAATCTCGGACGGCCTCACGTTTCTTAGAACCAAGTTGACCCGGTCTAAGCAAACTCCTTGTTGTAATTCTAGGGATTACAAAATTATCCTCAATATCATCCTGAATGAACTCCCATGCATTACCAAGACCGGCGAGCATGTTATGTAGTATCACACACGCTAGGATCCAATCAAGATAATAGCGCATATGACTTGCTTCATACAGGATTAATCAAAGGCACTGCAGCGACATCCAGCGTGTCTTGAGGACCCCAATGGAGTGTTCATTGACAACTCGCACTTTGGCAACGCAATAGTTAAAATCTCGATTTTCGGGTTGCAATGCCGCTTGGCCCTTGAAGCTGGGAACTACGGTCTCCTCACACATGTACGCAGAGTCGGCGATTAGATATTCGCCTATGCAATCAGAGACAGTATAGTCAGTTCGTATACCAAGCTGAAAACAGATCGTGCTCACCTTCTGAAAAGAATTTGGATGGCTCTATTGCTAAAGCCATTTTACTAAATACTGAAACATCAGCACATGATCCAGGCCAGCCCGCATAAATTGCAGTAATACGTCTGTCACAATCACAAATAATCTGGGCATTGATCGAGTATCGTTTTTTGCGATCGAAAAAAACTTCGCCGTCCTTTCCGGGGCGTTGAAAGATTGGAAAAGTCGTCCCATCCACGAATCCAACACATCCAGGGAATCCTTCTTGAGCCATCACAGCCGAGATGGATTTTTGACGCTCCTCGCATGGCCAGACTAGATATTCCTTTCCTCGATCAATGATAGCTTTAATTACCCGACGAGTACATATAACTACAGATCCTTCTCCCATCTTGTAGTTGCGCGCTAATCGGCGTATCGAGGTAGAATTACCGTGAGATCCCAATCGCTCAAGTGTGACAGCGAGCTGACGATCAACATGGGGGGGTTGATTGTTGCTAGTCGAATGGAATACCGGATGATCACTGATAAGATGCAAAAGTGCCTGGAATCCGCTGTGGTCAGTCCGCATAGCCTGCCTAAACTCGGTTTCGCGGGAGCGAAGCATGTCCGTGAGTTCGAATGGATTATGATGGGGTTCTTTCCACCGAGCATTGATGTACCGCAGATTCGTTGCAACCTCTAATATTTCCAAAATCATAGCTTCTTCACTGAATTCCATTTCCATCCATCGGGCCAAGCGCCTTTTCCTACGGAACCTTACAACTTCCATGAGACTCATGGACCCCATCGAGTGTTGATATCGCCTGGTACGCAAACGGCGAGCGAGTCCATCGTTGGAATCGACAGTTGCAAAAATCCCCAACCAGGTAAGGTCACGAATGACCTGTTGACGTTGTGATGTTCGAGGCATATGATATCTTTGAAGAATGAATGATAATGAATGATAAGGTGAAATGGCGAGAAGATCAAGGAAGGAAAGATGACAAGGTGAATCGAAGACAACTGGTGTATCTGTCTAATCCCATACTTAAGTCCCACTCGGACAGCAGACACGGCCATTTCATCTCAATAACTCTCATGTTGAGGTGTGAGAACGGAACCCGTGCTGAAAACAAACAGAACTCACAGGGCGCTTAGCTATGGTATCAAGAGGGTCGTGGCTCAGCATGGCTCTCAGATAGCTGTTTGAATCACACTTGGACCCTGTTCGAAAATCACCAAAAAAACGTCTACTTGAGACGCCCTAATCTCGTCACTTTGAAATGAAATTTGAATTGGCACCCCCTGAATCGGCTACTTACCGATTGCAAAGATCATCAACTTATTAAACGATTTCCAAATGGTAAAAAAGGTCATAGTGTTGATCGGTAGATTACCCGACGATCGGTCTGTTAATCAACTCCATAGAATCATCGAATAATCATGTACGGTTGACCCCTTATCTGAGACGGTGGGACCCCTTTATATGATTTCAAGAATAAGGACATGAAAAGTATCAAGTACTAAAGTTTTGGTGTTGGTGTTCATGGTACCACTCCTGATCGTTTGGGGTCTTTTGCTGATGAGAATGATATTGAAGGAGAAGTTTGTTTGAAAGAAATTGTACAAAAGAGTTTAATTTCTTACTTGGATTAAAGTTGGAAGTTCAACTCTTGCAAGCCTGATGAAAGGTTGAGATAAATAAACCAAAAGTATGGATGGAATATGATCGATAGATAGTTTTCTTCAAGTAGGTAGGTCCTAGGGGTATGAGATAGTTTGATTAAAATTTTGGTCAATTCATTTTTGTTTCCGAGGTTCATATCCAAATCAAAAGATCATTTCTTGATCACTTTCAAGTTTCGATCCATCCTTCCCATCGATTGATTTCGATTTCGATTTCGATCCAACTTCTTTTTCTTATTATCTCTTTCTTCATTCATCATGACTGATTCTACACTCCATCAACGTATTCCTCATTCTCAATCAAATCCTCCCATCATTCATCTTTCTAGATCTTCATCTTCATCTTCTCTATCAAATCAAGATACACTTTCAAGCTTTACTCCACCTGATTTTACTATCAAAGAACTTTTGGCTGCAATTCCTTCTCATTGTTTTGAAAGATCAGCTATTAAAAGTTTTAGTTATTTGATTTGGGATCTCTTTTTATCTAGCGTTTTGATTTATGCAGCTAGTTTTATTGATACCAAATTTGGTGGATCGGGTTCAATTATCAATGGTCATTTAGGTCGATTGGTTTCATTGGCTGCTTGGTCTCTTTACGCTTATTCAATCGGTTTGGTTTGGACAGGTAATTGTCGTTCTAAAAAACTTTTCAACTTTTTAAAAACTTCTTGTTGATCTGATAATCTTGATTCTTTTTTGAATTTGAAACAAATCATAATATAGGTATTTGGGTCCTTGCACACGAATGTGGTCATCAATCCTTTTCAACTTCAAAGACTCTTAATAATACAGTTGGATGGTTCTTACATTCGGCTCTCTTGGTGCCTTATCATTCTTGGAGAATCACTCATTCTCAACATCATGCTGCTACTGGTCATATGTCTCGTGATCAAGTCTTTGTTCCTAAGACTCGTACTCAACGTGGTGTTAAACCTCTTCCAGAGAATGCTACCAAACGAGAACGTGATGGTGCACTCGATCAAAGTTTGTAAGTTTTAATCTTTAGTTTTTATATCAAACTCGATGGTATGCTAAGCGATGAAGTCTTCTTTTAGGTATGAGAAGATGGATGATTTGCTTGAAGATGCTCCGATCTACGCTCTTATTAACTTGACTATCCAACAATTGGTCGGATGGCCTGCATATATCTTGATGAATGCGTCTGGTCAAGCTCGTTATCCATCATGGACTAACCGTTGAGTCAAGCTTTCCTTTCTGTTTGTTTGCCGTTGTGCTTCCTTCAGGATCACTAATTTAGTTAAGCTTTCGATCATTATAGACTTCAACCCTCAATCGATCATGTTCGATAAACGACACCGATCTCAAGTCCTCTTATCTGATCTCGGTATCGGTATCATGTTCACCATCCTTTTCCTCTTCGGTTTACGTACTAGCTTTCTCAATGTTGTCAAGTACTATGTCGTGCCTTATTTCTGGGTCAACGTTAGTTTTTCAGGTTCAGTTTTGATTACACTAGTTGACTGATTTATCTGTTATTCTGTAGCACTGGCTAGTCTTGATTACCTACCTTCAACACACCGATCCTAATCTTCCACATTACCGAGAAGGCGCTTTCAACTTTCAACGAGGAGCCTTATGTACCATTGATCGAAAGATTCATGGGTTCTTCTTTCATGGAATTGCTGAGACTCATGTAGCTCATCATCTTTGTTCCAAGATCCCACATTACAATGCTTGGGATGCTACTGAAGCTCTTAAGAAGAAACTTGGAGATCATTATATGTCTACCGACGAAAACTTCTGGTACAGCTTATGGAAGAGTTACACCCAATGCAGAGTATGTTGTTTTTTTGCCCCTTGGGTTGGTTTCTTGGGTTAAGTTGAATGCTTACAACTCTTGTTTTGGTTCTACTTGATGTATAGTTTGTTGAAGATGAAGGAGATGTAGTGTTTTACAAGAACGCTAAAGGGAAAGCGATGAGAAGAGTAGTGATTTCAGATAAAAAGGATCAATTGAGTGATTCAGGTGTAGATGTGGGAGAGAAGTAGTAACATCTATTTGACTGCTTCGAATCACTTTATGATTTTGTTAGATTGATCCTCAAATCGTTTTATCCTGTTTTTCTTTCTGTTTGCTCTTTATACTATTTTTTTACTCCGATTTATATTAGATAGATGAAGAGGGTGGGTGAGGAAGGGTTTTTAATTCTTGTTGAATTTAGAAGATGAATGATGGACTGAGTTGGGCAAGCTAAAAATCATGAGTAAATGATCATGACTCGTGTGTTAGATTTATGAAGTTTTAGAATTAGACAGTTTGTCTTGAAAAGTTGTATTGATCAGGCTATAGTAGCCTTACAGAATGATCAAGTTTAGATGTTTTGTTCTTGTCATATGAGCTTTGAGAAGATTCATCAGTAAATGGTATAAACACTTTGCAAGGTTACAATAAGGTTCTTTTGTTGAATCAATGAAGATGTGTTGTAATTCTTTACAGCTTCTAGAGATGAGAAGATTTGTGACAACTTACCAAGACTCAAGCCCCTTTAATGTGATGATTTTTTTGAAGGCTTTTTTTTACAAGAGAGCAGGCTTTGAATCCCTAATTGATCATACCACCTGTGAAGCTGTGAAAGCAGGTATCAAATAAAAAATCTGAGGGCACAAGATTAAAAAGTCATCCAACCTGTTGGACTAAAACTGACATGAGTTGAAGAGACATACTCCCAGGTTTAAAGTTTCCAAAAAGGTTAATTGAGATTTGCTCGCCAAAGTTAAGTGATTTGGCTTAGAATTTTTTTTTTTTTTTTTTTTTTTTTTTTTTGAGTGCTTTTGATTTCACATATTGCACTAGCTAACTTTGTGTGTAAATACTGTAACTACTGTACAACAGCTTCAAGTGTGTCTTCTACTATGATCCGGACTACGCTTAGAATTCTTGTCAAGCTTTGTGAGATTGACTGTACAAGCAGACGCAAAAAAGTTTACGTCACCCCGGGCCCCGACCAGCTTGATTCTGTAGTACACCTCTCGGGTTAGTGAACTGGTCGGGCCCAGGGGGTGACGTAAACTTTTTGCGTCTGCTTGTATTACTTTTGCTAAAAAGCTTGGCCCGGTTGAGAAAAAATAAAACAGAATTAAGACCCAGATTTCACCGCAGCAGAGAGGAAAAGGTTTTAGGGTGCACTTGAGCTCCCGTCCGTTCCATCGCTATGATTGCCCTGCCACCGCCAATATTTTTCATATTCTTCAAATCACTGTCGATGACTTCGTTTTCCTCACTCAACTCAACTAGCGTGTCTATCCATTGTGGCCAATTGATCTCTGATCTCTGTAAGGAAAAAGGTATGTACACTTTATTGCTTCAATTCCTCCCATTTCTCTCTTCAGTGCATTTCACTCAACTTACTGATAATCTCTAATATCATCTCTAGGTACCCTTCTCCAATACCTACCCATACTGTGCCGAGTTGAACCCTATCAAGTTTGGAGTCAATGCGTTGAAGTTTGATGTCCAAAGATCACATGTTTCATCATCTACATAGGTCAAATTCAGTCAAACGGATCCGGAAGGTAGCCCATAAGACCTTTACAGCTGAACTAACGAGCTAGATTGTTTATACAGTCAACTCTGATATAACCGATACACTGTCAAAACCGATAATCTCGGCAAAACCAATAATTTTCGGCCATTTTTTTGAAATTTTCAGTGAAGTTGGCTCTGACAAAACCGATACTCCGTGAAAACTGATACAATTTTTTGGGTATTGGTTATATCAGAGTCGACTGTAATAGATGAATTGTAGTTAGAGGAGATTTACTTTTTATAGGAATTAGAGTCGAGGAATTCTAGATAAGATTGGTGTGAAAATTAAAATTGTTTCAATCTTCTTCATAGGATTGAGAGCAAATCGATTGATTTTGATCTTGTTCAAAAAAATCGGTCTCTAGATTATATAAGAGAGCTGAGATTGTTCACAATCTCTTCCATAGGAACAAAGGAAGGTTGACTGGTTTGACCGAGCAAAACCAGTTGATTCTTGGATTTTGAATGTCCTCAAGAAAACTGAGATCGTTTTTCATCGCGTTCATAGGACCATAGACAAGATGACAGAGTTTGAATGACTTCAAACCCAATAGTATCTTTCTGAGTTTCTTCTCAACTCATGATCATAGGCTGACTGCTTTTGACAAACGCTTATTATTGACATATGAGGAACAGTGTACAATACATAGAAAGTTTCACACATCGGATGGCTGCTTTCCTTATTGAGCAGTGTTCTGTTTCTTAGTCATCAAGAGCCTGAATATATGAGCATTGTTATAAAGTGTAGAAATCATGACCTTGGAAAGTTGTTGCTGAATCAAATCCTTACGAAGTAACTCATTTTGATTGATCAATCTATAGTCGGTAATATCAGTATCTTCAAAACGATCGGCACCTTTTTTTCTTCTGGTAAAGTGCCGAAGTGGAGGAATCCATCGCTTGGTTCATCTGGATCATCTGCAGTGGATGATGAAGGTGACAGGTGCGCTGGATTTCTTTGAGGTAGTTGACAAGGTGATGGTGAACTCGAGGTGGGTGATGGATCAGTGGAAGGTCGCACCACAGCTGACAGCACCCTAAAACCTTTTCCTCTCTGCTCCGTTGTGACTGCTGCGGTGAAATCTGGGTCTAATTCTGTTTTATTTTTTCTCAACCGGACCAAGCTTTTTAGCAAAAGTAATACAAGTAGACGCAGAAAGTTCACGTCACCCCCGGGGCCAGGAACATCACACCATATGTAATACACGCAGGGTGGGGCCCCGGGGGTGACGTGAACTTTCTGTGTCTACTTGTACATAGCTGATCATGAGGTGTATGTAGATCCTATTCTTTTTAAATTATGAAAGGATTGGGAGTCATGAGAAAATCATATGAAGGATGTATGTATGTAAACATTTGTATTTGGTTGATTGGTGTTTTGATAGGTTTTGATGGTTTTAAAAACTTGGGATATTTAGTTTGTACCATTGGTATTGCTTGCAAGTTGAGAAGTTCAACAAAACTTGTATCAAGATGGTATCATGAAATATTTTGGTACAAGATGACATCTAGGAAGTTCCAACAATCAATAGATTAGTAATAGTTCAACAGTCATTTCTAGTTGATAAATGAAGGAAAAGTCTTGGTATGTTTGGCAGAACAAAAGAATTCAGGAGGTTTGGATCTTTGGAATGGAAGTTTGAAGATGATTGAGAGGTTAAAGAGCAGTACATAGGAGATCAGGTCATGAACTTGAAGGCAGTGTTGAGTCGAAGTGGGTAAATTTGATTGCCTTATCCGGTAACCGGTTATGTGTTGGAAATTGATAACCGGTTATCACCAATGGCCGATTTAAAGTCAAAACCTTAGAGCATCTCCTATCGTCTCGGTAAAGGGCTTCGGTACGGTAAATTTTACTGTACCGACCCTTAAATTCCCCAATCGTGTCTAAAACACGATTCGGTATCCACCGAATCGGTCAAAATTCTGTAGAGGTCCAGCAAATTTACTGGACCTCTACCGATTCGGTATCTGCGGGGAAACCATTGTTCTCACCATTTGGTACTGTACCGAGGCACTTTCTTTCCAACGATAGTGGATTTCGACAGTTCTGTACCGATTGATACTGTACCGAACACCTACGTACAGAAAATTTACTGAAAATTTACTCGAACGATAGGAGATGCTCTTAATCGATGATTGGTGTTGCAAGAACTGTGCAATAGGTTTACACTGCGCTTTTTTGCCAGTTGTGAATGAACTTTGAACATACTTTAGAAACAATTTGTTGGTTTGAAAGGAATTTCACTGTACTTCGGTTGAGCTGTGTGAGAGGTACATACGTTTGAATGGTTGTTGAGCTTTGTGATGAGTGAGGATTTGAAGTGATCTTCCAAGAAACCATTCAGAGTTGATTTGAACTGGTAAATCTTTGATCGAATCTGTCAGATCTTGAGTGCTTCTGCTTCAGGGTGATGGAGATCGATGAGTTCGAGATCTCATGAGTTCTGGTTGGGTTGATTCGATTGGAAGTTCTTGGTTACCAATCTAGAAACGATCACTCAAAGAATAGTTTTCAAGAAAAGTCAAGAAATGATCAAATGAAAACTTATCATCATCATCATCATCATGAGTTCATCAAACGAATCATCAACCAGCAATACCATCACCATCACCACCACCACCTCATCAAAACCCATCACATCTCAGGATCTCATTCAGTCAATCTACACAATTCTTAATTCTGATCAAAGTTCAGATCAAACTCAGGATCATCTTATCACCCTCGACTGTGGTCATTCAATCTCCAATGATCATCACCAAAAACAAAGTAAGTCAATCTAAATCACCATCACAATAGGAGTATGAAAACTTACTCTTTCTACATATATTGATCAACTTTAGCAGACTCGACGAATCTAATCCGATGTCCAAAACCAAATTGTGATCAAAGACCACAACCGATCCCATCGACCAATTTCACCATCCAAAGTATTTTAACACACATACAAAAAGACTCGCACTCAAGCAGTAAAGAAGAAGAAGAAAAAGACAAAGAAAAAGACAAAGAAGAAAAAGAAACGAAATTAATTCAAACGATTTCCACCGAATTAGAATGTTCATTATGTTCATTAATCTTTGAATTACCAAGTACGACCAGATGTGGTCATACGTTTTGTAAAGGATGTTTAGAAAGATCATTAGATTATACGAACCGATGTCCAGTTTGTCGACAAAGCTTAATCCGACAAACTTTATCAATCGATCAAACCATTCAAGAGCTAATCATGAAATGTTTTTCAACCCGATTTCAAACCACAAGGTCTTCTAATCCATCAGAATCACAAGAATTATCCAATCAAGTTTCATTATTCATTTGTGGTTTAGCTTTTCCTAAGCTACCGACATTCTTACATGTCTTTGAACCTCATTATAGGTTTTTGATCAGAAGATCATTATCTACTAATCGTCGGTTCGGTATAGTCTTACCCACCGAAACAGGCGCCATCAATCAGTTTGGTACATTAGTCGAAATCAAATCTATTGAGTTTTTACAAGACGGTAGATCATTAGTTGAAACCATTGGAATCATTCGATTTGAAATTTTAAATCTGACTTGTCTTGATGGATATCAAGTAGCTAATGTGAAATGGATAGAAGATATCGATCCTTCCATCGAATCAGAACTAGATATAAATGTCGAAAAAGAAGAATCGATTGAAGATCTAATCCAAGTTTGTAATGGGTTTGTAGAAGTCTTAAGATCAGGTAGTACTCCTTGGGTCCTTCAAAGACTTAATGTAAGATTATCGGTGTTTTTTCTTTCTTGGCTAAGATTCGGTTCAGGTTTGGGTTCATTGTTTTTGAAAGGCTTAAAGCCTTTTTTTGGGTTGGAATTGATTTTTTGTAGAATACTTTTGGTCCTACTCCTACTGATCCTGCTCAGTTCTCGTATTGGATGGCCATGGTCTTACCTATGTCAGATCAACACAAATCTCAATTATTACCGTTTGTCCTCTTTTGATTTTCTTTCAAATATTTGATCGGAATTGATGGATTGATTGATTGATTAAATGATGGGGGTTTGGTCTTGGGTTTAGGATCACTTCTGTTAGGTTGAGATTAAAATTGATTGTACATTGGATACATGGATTTAAGTAAGTGTGAGCTATTTGACTTCATTGGGGTTTTCTTGGAAAGGTTATTCGAATTTAGACTCATGAACTGTATCTCTCATATTTTTGATGGAAAAAAATCATTTATAGAACTCAATGGTGGTTCAGAGGTTGTTTGATTTCTTAATCTATTTTTCTTTTTCCAATTTTTTTGCGTTTATCTGAACTTTATAGTATTTAGTATGCATCTGTATTTCTTTTATCTCTTTTTTTTTCTGCTGATTCTAATTGACTGAAAATACCTACTTATCAAGTTTTTCTTTTTTTTTTCTTTCTTTTTTTCTTTTCCTTATGATATATATGTATGATTTAAACCTACAAGTCTTTTTCTTTCAAAAATATCTTAGATCAATTCTCTTTGATCCTTTTTTCTTTTTCTTTTTGATCATTCTTTTTGTAAGTTTTTATCTGAAGAGTTGATTTGTTGATCACTCTTTTTTCTTCTTCTTCTTCTTCTTCTTCTTCTTCTGTGAAAGTGTTGTTGTATATGTTTAGGTTTTGATGTTGTATTTTTGTCTTGTTGCTCTTTTCTGTTGTTTGCTTTATAAAGAATCGTTTGATAATATATATACATGATTTAATTAACTGATTGGTTTGTGATCTTTATCTTTGGATCATTTCTTTTATGGAGAAAACTGGTTGTCTGATTTGTTATTGTTCGAACTCGATTTGCATGCAAGTTGTCTCAACTGTTCCTTCTTTATGTTTTCTCATTTGGATCTCATGAGCTACCTCAGGCTCTAAAAGTGCTGTAAACAAACGTTTTGGACAAGAGTCTGTCTTGAGTCTGATTGGTTTGACGTTTACCTTTTCCTTGGATGTTGCAAGCCTTGAAGGGATGTTTTGATCACGTGATGAAGAAATTGATTGAGTCGTGACGTCATCTTTGGTGAGTGATATATGAAGTGATCTGGCATAGCAACGGTGCTTCGTCGGCGATATGTTCTTAACATCCTGAATACATATCAGCCGAAGCTGAGTCAGAAAGAGTGACTGAGTACATACCATGAGTGGATAGGCTGATGAGGAATGAAAGAAAAGAAAAGGGCAAACAGTTGAATGAGAAGTTGAGATGGTTTAGTTACTGGGCAATCATCAATCTTCATCAACTTTATACACAATCCCTTTTTGAGATCACTTGTATCTACCAAACTTTGGTTACTAGTGATCATCAGATTGAGATGAACAGCTATCTATCGATTTCTTTCATCTGCATAACTCTTTCTAATCTCGCTATCTTCTTTAAAAATGACTCGTAAATCAAATCAGAGGTAGGTAACCGATTCCTATGACCTATTCCTGAAAATATATAGTCGTTACCAACTCCGTAACCAAATCTTTTTTTTTTGACTATATCTTTATCCTTCTTCCGGTCTCGTTAATCCTCATCACGCGTCGTTGGCATACTAAAACTTGTTGCCAAGTGATTTCCTATTGTTCAAAACCTCATCTCGTTTTCTACTTAATTGCACGTTTCAGTTTCACCTTTTTTAACTTTTATCAATTTATACACTTTTGGTTTACCTACCACCTTTTTGAACTTCTTTACAACTCTTTTTTTTTTCGAAGTTTATCTTATTCGGAAATCCTGATTTCAGTCTTCTAATTTTGACTTCTTTACCAAGACGTCAGTTTTTTTCTTCTGCTCAAGTTAGTCATCATTTATTCTTTATCTCCTTTACTTCTTTACTTTTCTAATCTTGATTCTTTTTTTTTGACTATTATTAGAAATTCATTCAGCTGGTTCATCTTTACGAAGTTTTTACGTTTCATTATAGATCAAGAAGGGAGAATCATTAAGGATTTGGGTTTCTTTTGAACTTTAAACTGCTGGTCGGTATTTCGATTGAAATCGGAATTGGGTTTAGCTTTTCCAGTTTTCTTTTGTTCGTTTGGTTTGGTTTGTGTGAAGTTGAAGGAGGATTGTAGAGAATCTCTTTTTGAAGAAGATCACTTGTTGTTTTGGTAAGCTTGGTTTTCTTTTGTGATTCTTTTTTTTGTTTCATCAGTTACCCATTACGTTACCAGAGCATACAAAACAAGCGTTCAGGATGATCTTCTTCCTCAGTTCTTTTATTGTTGAGAACCATGTTGAGCTTAGAGCTTTGAACTTCAACTGAAGCTCTGAGCCATCATTCTTGACTCAGGATGAATATTATGAAGTGATACCATTTAAAACCTTTTAGACTTTCAAATCCTCCAATCGGTTTTTATCTTTCTTGAACCGTTATCTTCATTTCAAACCTTTTTCAAATACTGATCTAACCCACATCTGATTTTATCATTTAACAAACTCGGTCCTACTTAGCACAAGAATCTTCAAAGATGGGTAGACTGATTTGGCATCAATGGGGACGTTTGATGGCTCTCACAAGTGGAGCGTGTAAGTGATTTTCACTATCGTCATTCAAACATAATATTTTAGAGTCATTCAACCATCTTCTTTGGTTTGGTTCAATAGGGACAGCTTGGGGTGGTGCATGGGCCATCTTTTATCGAAAGTTTCTGTGGGATTTTATTGATGGGAGATTAGGGCCAGTAGGCATCATGTAAGTCTTTCAAAGAAGTTGATGTGGGGTTTTGTTTGGAATCGAATTGATTGGGATCTCATTTTGTATTTTTTGTTTGTTTGGATTAGACCACCACCTGAAGCGGCTCCATTTATTAGTTTGATTGTCAAAACACCAGTACTACAATTTGCATGTATTGTGAGTTTGCGAAACTGATGTTTATTCACGATGAAAGATGAGACTGATTTGATGAATTGGTTTATAGGTTAATGGACTTCTGACGATTTTAATAGATTGGCCAATCTTACCAAACTCTTTCTTATATAGGAGTTTAGTTTTCAAATCTGTATTCTTTTTACAAGCAGGTATCATTGCAGGTATGTTTTGAATCTTGACCCCATCAAGCTTTTGAGTCTTCTGAAATGAAGCTTCAATATAAATTGACCAAATGGTTTTTTTTGCATGGTTTTTTGATTTTTGGTAGGATTGTTGTATCAAACTGCTGATGCTTCTGTACTTTATGGGATCACTATTTTGGCTTATATTATAGCTGTGTGTAAAGCAGAAGTGGTTGGAGAAAAGAAGGCTAGAACGGACTCGGTTTGATCAAAAGAAATGACATTAATGTTTTTTTTTTCGTATACTTCATTCTTTTACTTAATTGGTTTCATTTTGGGATTGTTCTTTTTGACCAAAAATTTCAACTTTTAAAACTGTCGTCCTTTTTAGAGCAACTCTTCTTTTGAAGTTTTTTTTTTCGATTTCGAATTTTGTTGTAAGTTTGTAAGGTTTTTTTTTTATTTTCAAATCTCATTTGTACAATCATGAGTGTGTCTTTTTGAAATCTTTCTTTTTATGATTCTTTTTCACTCTGACTCATCCTTTGTCTATGTACCTTAATTTGAGTGTGATTTTTTAAAAAAAAAACTTTGAAAGACATTTTAATGGTTTTGGAAGTTTTTGAAGTTTGTATGGAAATCTGATTTCATGAATTGATTGGAGAAGTGAGTTTGAGGTGATGAAGTGATGTTTGTTGATCAGCTCCCCAAAATGGATGACAAAGCTATCAGTTTTCAAGGATCATGGCTAATAGAAGAAGAGACAGTTCATGTATGTCATAAAAGTGAGACGGGGTTCAATTCACAGTCCAAAAAACACACAAAGGGCGTTCAATGATCAATTGAGGGACTAAACTTTCGAGATCTGACTGAGAGGAGCTTTGATAGAGGATTCATAAAATCCGTGAAATTCGTATTGCGGACATAAACATGTGAATAACATCTAAAGCCCTTCTATGTGTTTGGGCTTCTTCAAAGTTGTGTAACTACTGACTTGACTTGACATCGACAAACCAGTGGGATTGGATTCCATTTTTCATGAATTTTCACCAGCTTGACACTGATCAAGGCTAAAATCCATGAGCTCTATAGTCCAGGGAGTGCTGATATCTGGAACAGCATACTCCGGGGGTATATCTTCAATCTATGTAATTTCAAAGATCATTTTGTGTGTGATGAGTCTAAGATTCCTTCGTTATACTTTTCGATACAATCAGAACAAGAAAGTTACTTACCTCAGGTACCACTACTGGAGGTAATGATTTGTTTTCAGGTACACAAGCCATATACAAATACCTTCTGGTATAATATTCAAGGTTTTTCAAATTCATACCAGTCCTAGTAGAAATACAAGACACGCTTAAGCAGATGGTCTTTTAGATTCATGAGTTCATAAGTAAAAATTGTCACAAACTTGGCACTCGGATAAATAGGTCTATCATTCTTATCTAAAAAGTATTGCTAATGAGAAGGTAAAGAATAAAGAAGTTTTAAATTATTGTAAGAAATCGAAAAAGAGTCATAAAGATTTACTTTACAGTTTTCACATTGAGCTACGCCTTGATTACCACTATTGATGAGCGTTTCAGCCGCGCTATGATCACACAAAAAAAGAATAAAAGGGATGTGTAGTCAGTGTTTTGTTATGTACCACTTTTCGTAGGGATGTGCACAGTGACAAACTTAAGGCAGGCGTCTACGGTGGTTTTGTAAGCATAGGGTGTAGCACCTGGTGAGTTTGGAAATTTCATACAGTTGATGGGTTCTGTGTCGGGATAAGCATTTTTGTAGGGATTAAACCGATTGGATTCGACTTTAGGATTGGATTGGATGTTTTTGGATATCGTATTGAAGTAAAAGGTTGAAGAGAGGAGTAAGATGAATGTGATCGATTTCATTTTCTGGATTCAAGTGATTAAAAAAAGGTATCCTTGGAACAGAAGAGGAAGATATCAAGTTATTCGGTGTATGTGGAAAGTGAATATATTTTCATCCAGGCAAGAGCTGCACCTTTTATTCTCTTTCATCTTCAAAGAAATATGCGTATCTCAATAAACTTGAAAAACTCCCACAGGTGTCAACACGTCTTCCTGTGCGCTCAACCAAGTCCCTCGCTGCTTCTCGCACGCTTCAAGCGCAAAGGGACCCGGAGAGTTACATAAATTGATCACCTCAACTTTATAAATGACCTTTAACAAATTCTAAAAATAGCGTGTTTTGCTGCGCCCTTTTGGGGAAGTTTATTGTTAACACACAGCAGAGCTTGACTCGCCTCGCGCAGCTTGGAAGATGATCACACCGCCACGCAATGCCATCCATGAAATTCCACCAGGGGACGCTTCCTCGGACCTCAGCAATGCATGAAACACTCCGAATTTGGGCCAAGAGAGCCCACACACAGTGGGCGCAGCTGGCACGATCATGTAAATGTAAACTATGTGAGCGATGACTGCTTTCAGGCTGGTCATAGTCTGAGGCACCCGAGAGTTAGCTATTGCTTGGTTTTATAAGCAGAATATGACTGTTCCTTGATCATCATGATTTCTACACGCGAATGGAGGAAGAGTATTTAAGTTTGTATGTGCCACCTCTGTTCTCGCACCAATCCTCTTAAAATGATTACTTTTGCCAGTTTTTTTCCGTTGTAACATTGACCATGGGGCGTCCTGGATTTAAAATGGCTAAAATCCAAAAGCGCAATTTGCAACCATTCCATCAACAGAAGCATCTGCGGATAATCAAGTCAATTTTCAAGTCGTCTTCAATTGGGCGGATCTCTCCGAATTGTACTGACATTTGTACAGTGACACATTTCGCCTTGTCAAAAAACATCGTAGGGGACGAGAGTAGGAGAGGCTGGGTAGCTTGAGTTCGCGGATCACAAAAAAGGGATATTTGTTTGATAGTTGAAGTCTGCTCAAAGTATTGCGCATGAGGTTGGGGACAGAGGCTTTCAGGTTGGCATCTCGGAGTGGTAGTATTGGCAATGCTTGGTGGTATTTCCATACTTGTTATGGAAGCTTATTGTCAGATCTTAGTAGGACACGAGCGATCCGTACAGACGGATGAATAGTGTAAAGTTGTAAGATTGCATAGATGACAACAAGATATCCTAAGTAGCAATGGTAACCTCAACCTCTACTCCGGGTTCGATGGACATGGAGGTCTGGAGAGATTGATGGCGCCATCAGTGAATGAACCAAGGGCGACAGAGCAGCAAAAAGCGTACGATTTGTTTCACGGTCTCCGCTGGACTCTGGAGGTCGATGAGTCGCTTGTGAATCTTCATCTCGAATCGGTCCCAGGTCTTGGAACCCTCACCACAAGGCTAGAGAGGTAATAAGGGCAGCAAATTGAATTAGTTGTGTCCAGTCACAACGAGTGGAATTGGTACTCTGGCTTACTGTCTTACGAGTGGTGATTGTAAGTCGCTTGGTAGGAAGTCGAACGGGTCCCTTGACGCGAAGGTCCTTGTCTTTGGCTCGGTTGACCAAGTCAGAGCAGACTACAAAAACACAGTGGATAAAATGTGATGATCAGAATAGGTATCACAGTGGAAAAAAACATATGAAGGGGATACATACCTTTCTCAAGAGCCTTGACATTCTTACTAGTCAAAGTAATTCGAATACGGTGAGACTTGGCCGGAGGAAGACCGGCTTGATCGTATTCCTTTTCACCACCTTTTGCGACGTAACTCATCTTGACTTTCCCGTGTTGTGAAGGGGGTAAACAGTTGAGTCAGCGGTGACTAAAGACACACGCACAGCAAAACGCATGAACTGATCAGTTTGGTAGGTCATGACGGATTGGTTAGTTGGTAGTAGTTCAAAGGTGGCTCACCTGAAAGGTCTATAATTTTTGCTGGGGGAGGGTGATCGTCGGCGCCAACTTTCGCCCGAGTGCCGTAGAGTTCTGAAACCTAAGTGTGAGATGGACAAAACTATGGTGCGCCCACCGGTACTGCCCGTTCTGACGCACCTGACATGCATCAAGCGGGCCGGCCTGTGAATGACGTGCGGCTCGTGACTGCGCATTCGTGGTGACTTGTCGTTCAGCAATCCTTGCCTAGAGAACCTCACGTACTTACTTTGGAGTCAGCAATTGTGTGCTTGTCACCTATGTCTCTACCAAAAGGAAACGGAAGGCCAAACAAACAAAAGGCAATTTCCAAAGCAGGCCAGATAAATCTTCCAATTTGCTTTGTTCAGGAAAGTCCCAAGCTTCAAGAGCCTCAATCCCGGGATTGTAATCTCAGGCGGAATGTTTGACAACAGGTTTTTTCCAAAGAGCAACCATTGTCTAGAATTTTCAGCCTATCCTTTGACATCATATCTGTAAACTTCATCAATGCAAAGGAAAGACCCAGCCAGTTGGCTTTTCTACTCACACAAATTCACTGTAGAGTCGGATTCTTGTTTGCCCAATTAGGTCAAATTATCAAGCTCGGTAAACCAAACTATCCCACATTCATTACCTCTCAAGGTGTAGCCAAATTACCTGCACCAACTCAACCCCAAATATTTGAATCACTGAGGAAGACTTATCTGCCTTAGATGGAAACACAGATGAAATTGTTTTGGGAAATAAAACTGGTGTGAAATCATTTTTCTTATGTGTGCCATGTCATTTAGTTCCACAAGCTCTTATCTATAAGATTTCATCAGCAAAAAACAAAGTGAATAATGTTTAGTAGCTAAAAGGATCAAGGTGAATCAAAGGGTGTCCATTTCAGAACCTGAAGTTGACCCTTCAATGGCGGACATTCACAGACCAGCACCGTCAAAGACTAGAGGCGCCAGGTCAACAAAAGGTTGGTTTTGACAATTTCAAAAGGAGTTCTTGTGGAAAATGACAATTTAGTGTCAAAATCAAACTCTCCAAAAGGTGAGACATTACATAAATTAACATAACATAGTCCGCAGCTCATGTGTTGCCTGTTGTTTGTGCAACAAAAGCCCAATGCTGTAAAGGGTGGGAAATTGTTGAAGATGAGGCTCTCAATGAGGCTGATGTAGTGATAAGTCAAGCGGTAACATCACAAGTTGATATGAGGAAGTCAAAGCATAAGAGATGAGGATGATGTTCTTGTTCTTGTCTTCTCTTGATTTGTTTGCTCATTTTCATCAACCAGTGAATCAAATTGTGGCTTTGCTTTCTCCTTTCAAAATTCTATACATTCATTCTTTTGTGGTTATTTCCTTGTATTCTGGCATTAGTTTCTTTAACCCATTTTGTTGGAACCTGTCAAAATATGTTTTCCAGAGTCCAAAGCAACAAAAAGTTTGAAGAGGAGCACAAATTTCTCTAAAAGATGGTTATTTTTTGGTCTGTACAAACAATTGTAAAGGTTTACAATTGCAGCACAAAGTGCATTTTTTGGAATGTCCAAGTCTCAGGTATAATGTTTTGATTGAGCAGGTTTGATGAGTTGTTCAAAAGGGTGGACTGTATCTTTTAGAATAGTCAATCATTGGGTATACTATGATGATTTGAAGGCATTTGAAAAGACACAAAATGCATTTCAAGCATGAAATTTCAAAATCACAACATGCTCATTTCTTTGGGTGTAAAAGGAAGAGACAATTTTATACATTGGTGGAAACAAATGGGTGTCAAATTCAATCTGAGGTGGCTCATATGAAAGTTTACACAGGAAACCTTTTATAGTCATTATCTGGTGGAAAGAATCTGGGTGGGAAATTCAATTTTGCTGAAACCAGCATGCAATTTCCTACCCTCTTTGTTCTACCTTTTGATTTTCACTTGCAAGAAAGAATGGAAGAAAAGGCAGAAAATTGCATATAACCTCCCGGCTTATCCACTTTTCCACCCACTGGTTCTTTGCACCACAAAACATGCGGAAAAATATAGGGCCCCCTTTTTTGTTCTGGTTCATAACCTTGGCCACACTGGCTGCAGAAATGTATGTCCCCGTCAATAGGATTCCACTCCACTCCACTGTCTTGAATCAAAAAAAAATCTTGAATCATGCTGTGAAGGATAGACTAAGTGTCACTAGGCTAATCTGAGAGCTACAGTTTGTGAGTATTCAAGTGACCTTAAGCAGAATTGTATACAATGGGAAACATAAGCACAAGTGAAATGAGAATCAGCCAAAAGCAGACCTATTCAGATAAGATAACAAAGGTATTTGATCAACCCAGAGAACATAAAACTCCAACAAAACTTCTCATAAAGATAGACATGATCATCTCATCTTGAGCATATCAATTACCATTTACTCATGAAAAACAGAAACATGTATGCACAGGATCTTGTGTGAGATTGGGTAAGTACTTCATATACCAGATTTTAACATGTGCAATAGGAAGCAACACAGTTAGAGACTGATCTATATGAAAGAAAGACAAGTTAAGTTGGGATCTAGTTGAGTTAATCCCAGATTTTGGGATGAAGTGAAAATCACTTGTTTCATTGAATACAAAATATGCACACCTACTAGGACACAACACATTGAGATGATGAACTATATGAAAGAGAGAGATAGAGTTGAGATCTACTTGATTTGATCCAAGAGTTTGGGATGAAGTGAAAATGACTTGTGTCCAAACATCTGGTGGCGTGAAGAGTACATATATATATATATAGACTGATATAAAAATACGTGAATCGGGTATGTTTATAAGGTAAAAGTAACATTGGTTGTATGAGATAGTGGAGGCATGTTAACATATCAAGCGTAGACATCATGAACACAGAGTACATATAACAACAAAAAGTTTGTAAAAATATTTTCTACACAAGCTTATACTTGGTAGATGCCACTTGGACTTGATGAAGCAATCAATGTTGTGGGAGTGCTTAATTTTTTTGTTCCCAATTCCTTTGTTAATGACTCTTAAACTGAAGATCAATATACATACCGAAAATCTGTGGGATTTGATTAGTTATTTGACATGGACTCTTCTTTGTAAAGATTAAATGATGACATACCTCTGTTCTGGAGATCTGTCAGATCCATAAACGCTTTGTCTACCTTGGGTGCCAGCCCTGTTGGGTGGTGTTTGTTTTCTGAACTTCCTTCCACATCTGTTTTCGGCGATCCAGCACATGTTGCAAGCTCCTCTTGATCTCTTATCCGATTCTGTTTCTTCAAGTAAAACATCATTCCGATGATAAAGATGGTACAAAACGAGTAGCAAGCCAATATCAATGACCAAGGGACGATGTTTCTAGGCTTGTACTGGGATTGCCACAGCTGTGGGGCTGGAGTGAGAATGATAGTCACAAAATGATAACGGATTAAGCATTGTGAATTTGTGTTCTTTGAAGTGATAAAAGAATGGAGTTGGACTATACCAATGATGTTGCCAATACTGTAAGCTAAATATTTCAAATTATGATAGCAAAGATATCTGTCAACATGTGTTTGCAAGAATAAAGTGAGGAGAGGGCGATCCTACCTATCATAACTATAGATTGTACAGTTACTCTTTCTAAGGATTGAGGTTCATAGATTTTGGATGATCAGGTGAGTTCTAGTCCATAAGCGCATTTGTCGCGTGTGATGCCGTTTTATTTATAAATCACAAACTGGAACTTACTGGTATGCCCGGCGGTAGTGGATGTGATCCATCCTAGTACAATGACATATGGCTATACATGGCCGCAGAATTGGAGATGAGGTTAAGATTCGTCTTGTTTCTGTACAAAGATACATCAAGATAGGTTGTTGAAGCCGACTTACTACCGAAGAAAACCAGGTAAGATAGATAGCGATGAGAAGAGCAACTCTCGAGCTCCAAGGAAGGACGATAGAAATTATGGTGGCGGAAATGTTCGGTATTGACATAATTACTTTGTAGTTGCAAGAGAGTAAGAGTTTTGATCAATTTTGTTGTATCCCATGGTCAAGAGCGCATTGGATTTCTCCAATCGGAATGAAGAGAAATGTATGAACATACCTGCTACAATAGCTCGCGAGTTTTTGAACGCTCTCACTAACAACATCCCGATGAGTATCGCGCCGGCTTGTACGAAGCCAATGACCGAGCTCAAAAGTGTAGTAGAAAGGGTCGAATGCCCTAAAGATTTTATCTGAGTAAGAAAGGCAGAAATCAACTGTTTAGATACAATCGGTTTCGACCAGTCCTCATGAAGGATGTTGAACTCGAGACAGAATAGGATGATACTGACTATGAGTGATTGTTGATTGGTGATGTTAGGTATGCTACCTATAAGAAAATAGGTAAACCATGCCCAGGTCTTGGGGTCTTTCAAAGCCTCCATAACTTGATGTCGCTTCAAATGCTTGTTTTCAACCTGAGGTGTGTAATTAAATTTTCACCCGTTGGTCATCCCACAGTTTATGCGTTATCTCAGACTCTAGAAAGAACAGCTTCGATGATGACTTACGCCTGTCTGATTGACTTTGATGCGTAAGATAGCTTTCACCCTTTCTTCCGGTGTCAGAAACCAAGCGGTCGCAGGGGAGTCTGGAAAGAGAAAGAGCAACAGCAGTGATACAACCATTGTGATCATTGCCGTGAAAATACAAAACCATTGCCAGGGATGGAACTACGTTGAGGTCAATTGATGAGCTGATTTTTCAACGGAATGGAAACAAGTGGGATTCAAACTTTGTGAGACTTACGTGTGTGGTGCGGATATGAAGCACACCAAAGCCAAGGAAGCTGCTAGTAGCCACCGAAATACCCTTGAGAAAAATAAATTGATGGCTTCAGCAACACATCCCCACATAAACCAGCCAGTTATAATTGTTTACATTCATTAGGTACCAGTAACCTGTCCTTGGTCCTTGCTCTCGATGAGTGTAGAACCTATACATCGTTTTTCACGTTGTGACATCAGCGCTTTGTGCGGGGATTGAAGTAAAGAGACCTTACATTGAGGTGCTGATCATGAAAGCCGACGTAGCACATCCCTCGCAAGCTCCCAAAAGAAACCGGCACAACATTAGTTGCCAAAAATTCTTGCAAGCCTAGAAGCAGGGGATTCAAAAAATGAGACAGCCGAACTTCAATTTAATGAAGAGTGAGCCACGAGGTAGTAAGTGAAGGGATATTCACGACTTGAGAGGCGACTAGAATTGTCCAAAGTATTGCATTTAAAGCTAGCCATTTTCCAAGTGGGTAACGTTGAAGGGCGAGGTTCTGAGGATATTCAAACAGCAAGTATGATACTTTGCGCGTTGAAGGTGCAAAGATTGAAGCCACGTTCGGTTGATCATTATGTACTTCCAAGAGTAGGTGCATTTGACAGACTTGGCTTACCATAAAATATGGTCCCCAGCCAATTGTACTCAGCCGCAGTCAGCTTCAAATCCTCTTGTAATCCGAGCAGAGCGGCGTTTCCTAAGGACCGTACGCAGAAGACAAGTTCTATCAGAACTGGTCACCAAACTGAACCGTACATGGCTATCAATTACCCAAAGTGGTTTTATCCATGCTGAATTGTATTGATCATTTATGGCTCTCATCAGTAGAGTTTTCAAGGAGCTTTAGATACAAAAAAGCATTTTGATCCGATTTCAACTTACAAGTGCGCAAAATTCGTGACCATCATTCTGTTCAGAAGAAAGAAGTAATGTTTCATCAGGCGTCACGGTTAGACATTGCGCGACAAATTCTAATCTGAGGTATCTTATAATCGGCGTACAAAGGGAGCACTGTAATGGTAAAAGGCTCGAGAATGAGTCATAGGCTGGGAGAAACTGCCAACATCGAGTCTCAAAATATCCAAGCTTACGATTCCTATCAATCTTGCGTCGGATCCTGACATCCTCCTCTGGAGTAAGACCGGTGAGTTCTTGGCCGGCAACTACCTTCGCTGCTACGTCCAAGTCTCTTTTATCGATCGATGACGAACGTGTAGGACCTTCATCTTCGAGGCATTTCGAATCTCGAACGACCCCGTTTAAAGAGACACTCATTATAGTCTGTTTTGCCTTTTATTGATGATAGAAAAGTATGTGTGAAATTTACTAATGCTTCAATGCATACAATAAACAAGAAAAGCTGGAATCGTGAGACGCGTAAGAATGGATGAAGCGATATAGCTTTTGAGGAGCGCTTATTGTAAAGATACGAGGATACAAACAATCGGTTCTCGTTGGACGTTGGGGTTCGTAGTCGTGTTAAGATTCAACCGAGATACTTACTCCAGAAATTGATTCCGATACGGATTTCGGAACTTTGGTTCAGGTTTGAACTCAATCATCAGAACGAGATATTCAGGTTTAAGCTGTGTGACCTTTGACGTAGGCGTACGAGATGTGGACGTGGAGGTATGACCGTATGGTATAGAAACGTGCATTTCACGGTGCGGTGGCGATGCTCTTAAAGGAGAATGAATCTTTATGAGTGTGCGAGAGCTTCAAATGATTTGTCCAAATTGAAAGTTGACAAGTAGATGATGATTGCCTCCTATTGCCTCTTTTACAAATGGCACACATCGTAAGGCTAGCCCATGAAGAGAAGGGAGCACGCTCTTTAGGAAGAACAACCCTAATGTGGTCAAAAATAAATAGAGCGGGCAAACGAAAGAAATCCTTTACCACTTTCAGAGTTGATGATTCAGTATGTAACTTCTTACCAAAAGGGAAGAGAGGCATCACTCTTCGTCATAGCCCATTAACAGGATTTCGGCACACGAAAGGAAGTAACACTCACATCGTCTCTTCATGGTTTCCCCCCGTCCGACATCTCACCTACTACATATTATTATCCCATTCAGGATTCTTTCCTCTTTTCTGATTACACAACATAAGAAACAATCTTTTGATTTTCTTGTTGATTTTCTTGTAAGTCACTGAGAAGATACAAGAGTAACTACTGAGAATGAATATATTGTCTGACATTGGAGCTGCAATTTGTGATTTGCATGAAAGAAGGAATTTGGTGACATTAACCTCAGCCAGTTTGGTAAGGAAGCAGGAGGAAATCTCAGTGACAAGAATAATCCAAGAGATTGACAATTCTCAACTGATCATGTGGAGCGCAAACCAATAGGAGTGTATGGAAATTCTGAAAAATGAAGCTTTGTCTCAGAGTGACTTATCAAAAAACTTGTTTTGATTTATATATGAAGACTTTGTTACATTCCTTGAACAAATTTCTTTGAATGGTCTACTTCGAGGGTAATGGAACCCAAGCTATCAATCCAACAAAATATCTGACTCTAGATATATATCCTTGAACAACCTTGAGTCATATGAACAACCCCTAAACTAAGTTGTGATTTAGAGCCCAGCTTTGTTTGATCATTGTCAATGTCAGGTAATCCCAATCGTGCCCAGCATCATTCTTAATCATCTGGGCTTATCACCTATGAGAGTCAGGGTGGAGGCTTTCAGCCTATCAGTGGGTCTCCGCCCGCTGATGTGCATGTCATAGCAATGCACTCTGATGAAGAACTCTTGATAAATCCAGCTATAAACCAAGGGGAGATAAATTATGCAGATTGATCAACTGCCAGAAAGTTTGCCCAACTTTACTTGATTGATCACAAAGGTCTGCTACAAAATTGTTCTTGGGAGGTACAGGCATACCTTTGTAAATTACCTGGCCATTTTCTTGGCGGTGGGGATACTGATCTTGCATGGCTCGTGACTAAAATGATCGGCTGATGAATTGAGTTACAAAAACTCAATGTGGATCAACTTGATCAGGCAAGAGTGCAGAGATAGCTTGAAGATGCAGTACAGTCAAACCCGCGCAATTGCATACCCGCGCAACTGCATAATCAGCCTTTTTGCATAGGCCAGGACTTTCCCCGACTAGGTGCGGGCTAAAAATTGCATTTATTGCATAATTTTGTCAAAAATGATAATGCATAAGTCAAAACCCAAAAAAACCGGGTCTTGGAAGCCCAATTGCATAGCTTTTACTCAAAATACAGGATAAAAAGTACATAATTAGGCATAAACCTTGAGCCCTAAGTCTTAAAGCCTAGCTCATAACCTGCAAAAATGCATAATGTTATGTATTTTGGCCTATTTCCGCATATATGCATAACTTTATGCATTTTAACCTATCCTGTATTTTACCTCACTTTGCATAACCTATGAAATTGCATAGGCCCGATGTTCCCCCCAAATTATGCAATTGCGCGGGTTCGACTGTATATCGTATGAGTCTCTTACTCAGAGTCAAGCTGATTAGCCAAGCTGTTTTGGCTGTTATCAAGATTCGATCGCAGTTTGAAGTTTGAAGATCAGATGTTACAGCTGCGTACCCTGCTAAAGTGACCCGTGACAGAACAAGCTTGAAGAAGTGTAACGAGAAATGAAGGATGTTATGGAACGATCAAGCTTGTGAAATTATCCAAATTCGGATTTTTCCTTGAACATTCTTGATTTGATTTGGATTGAGAGTTGAAATCATCAAGTAGTCAGACTCCCGAGCCGGAGTTTTAACTTTCATCGAATCCAAGTCGATTTCAAATTCTGCTTAAACTTCCCCACCATCGATATCAACCAGTCATCATAAACTCTTTACTTACTCACCTCGATTACGTCTGCATTTATTGGCAGCTTTTTTGGCAATATTATCTCGCAAAAAGAAATCAAAAACTCAAGAAACTATCGATCCATCGCTTTCTGCGCTTTCCTTCATCCTCAGGTTCAATTTCGGTCTTGAAGAAGAATCAAGGCTGATAATCTTTTCAAGCATCATCAACATCAAATCCCTTCAACCCCGAATGAGCAAGACCGACCGTTCAAGTTCATTCTGCGTTTCCTCTCCTAACCCTGACACAGTCGGAGGCAGGTAAATCATTGCCTTTTATGCATCACTATCAAATCTTTCATTTTCTTTCTTCCTCCCTTGACCGTTCAAGACCGTTCATCACGTACCAAGATGGTTTGGCCGTAAATCCATTATTATGTTTCGACTGGGCTCCTTTATTATATATCGTCTTTTTGGAGTCACGTTCTCACACCTTCCTCGGTCGAGCACCAATTCCAGAGTTCTATCTTCGTCATCCTTTAAGTTTGGGTTGATATCCCGTTTTTGCAATCCCATCAATCTAATCATAGCCGGCTGACAAACTTCATCAGACATCTTACCAACCTCAACTTACTTATCCAAAAGCTTTGGATGGCAAGTCTTGATTCCGGTTGTCAAGCCTTTGCTGTACCAGGCTGTACCTGAACCTCTTAAATTTATTGCCTTGGCATCACCCTAGTTGGGATTATCATTTGGTCAACTGTTCCTAATTCTCCCGAATTACAGGCCTGAACCGGTTCATTGTAGCATACATCTCCTTTCACTAAGGCACGCAGCTCAACCCATTGTGCCTTAACTCGTCTGACCTGATCTCCGCCATTGGGTGCAGAGTTTATATCACTATTATCTAACTGCGCTCAACCCCCTTCTCTCCATCTTTCAAATCGTCATCAGTGCGCTTGCTCTTGTATTAACTTTCAGTCCGACCTGGTCACTTCTCACAAGCTTCCGCCTTCCATAACTTGCCTTTCATCACTTTACTGACCTTTTTTTATCTTGATTTGGTCTACTCTACGTGCCTTCTTCGTTTTGTCATTGGCGTATTTATACAACAACATCAGTTGTTTCTCCAGCTTATCAATCGATCTCCGCTCAAGAGTTCAACTTGCTACTCAACCCATCGATTCATCCCCAACATCAATGAAAGACTCCTTCGGACTTTCCCTCTACATCTTCTCCGTCGGTCCACGAGCGCTGCAAGCACCATTCTTGGCAGGTCTAGACCCTACTCCAATCAACCGCCGACTCTAGTCTCTCCTCGCCTTCTTATCTGGCTAGCTCGAATTATTCCCGGGCTTCTCAATCACAAACAAACATTCTGGACAACAACTAACAACCTGAGAAATTTGCTCAAACGTTGGTGACCTTTCCTAATGCTTGTAACTCGGCCTTGGATTTCAGACTGACCCCACATACATTTTCAGATTGTCTAGTCATCTCCTATAAAAATGGTCGCCATCAAGAGCCTTACGCAACTCTCCCTCTCTCGCTCCGCTTCTCAAAACTCTACTCCCCGGTCTATGACCTCATCGCCCTCACCTACCACGGTTCAGCCCACCGTCCCTTCTCGCTTAACTTCCAACGAGGATTACTACCTCTCTGACGAACAATTGGTCATTCATCGGCCCACGCCTCGCACCAAATCAGCCAGTTCGATGGCTCCTAAGAGTGACTTGAATATCACTTACACCACCCCTCCCAATGTGCAGCTTTCTTGGGGTAACTCCAACGACGAACCGCATGTCGTGGCCCCTCTGCCTGCTAAGCCATCTTCACTGGTACCCTTGACTCGTAGGCCTCATCACACGATGGTAATGGCGCCTGCGCCTACTGTGGCATGCGGTCACACAATCCAACCTACTCCTCACACCTCTGGAGCCCACAGGCCTCTTCTATCAACTTTGCTATCTGTCAGCACGAAGGCGTCTCCTAACATCAGTCGAGCTAGTTCACCCAAGGAAGTCGCTCATGTGGGCCCTTCGCCATTGACCCAGGATGCTAAAATGCCTCTTCAACAACTAGAGGCTAGCTATGTCAGCAAGGTCGGCACTCGAATGAGGGACCTGGTCAACAAGGTTTTCCCGTCGGCCGTTGAGAATGGCTTGGCCTGCAATGGGCGCTCTGCCCCAAAGCCTACGGTCGCTTCTTCGTTTTCAGAAGCTTTGAGACAGTAAGCTCGTCTTGCAAGTCTGAACGTAGCCGGTAGATTGCTGACATTTTCATCTTTACTTCAGTGAGCTTACTGTTGCCAGCCGCGATTCGTACATCCTACGAGCTTTATTGCGCACAGCTATCATCCCGGCTCTCACCATATATGTGGGACGTTTAGACCCGCTACTTGTGCCCATTGCTTCCAACCCATCGCTACTTTTCGTTCCCAAGAATGCGAAGGAGGTCGATGGTTCTCTTCCACTGGAGTTGCGGTACAACATCGAAGTCGTCAAATCTGCCTGGGTGGTTCGCAATTGTGTTGATGAGATTTGTGCTGGTGTAGGGTGGGAAGGTGAAGTCCCAAAGGTCTTATTGGATGGTCTCGGTCCGTTCGGTTCAAAGCTCGATGCGATTATTCAACGCTTCATGGGGCCTTACTTGATGGAGATCAAAAGCCAAGTTATGTCGCGAATCTCGCGTTTTCGGCTTAGTGATCCTAACGGCCTTCAGTCATCACTCAAGGTCTTGCCTCTTGCACTCGGTCGCGCCTCTGGAGTCGGCGTTTTGAGCAGCTCCTGGGGTTCACCTGCACACACCCCCGACCATCTCAGCGAACTCACTTCGATTCTCGAGGGCGTCCGCCGGCTCTTGATGGTCAAGCTCGCTTGCGGACCGGAAAGTAAGAAGTGGATGGTTAGTGTGGCTTCACAAGCTGTCTGGAAAGGCATGTTGGCCTTTGCGGCCCGACCGGCTGTCCCATCGTACGGTCAACCACCATTACAGCTTCCTACCGTACATCACGACTCTGCGTACTTGGGACTCCGAGGGGCTCGCCATATTCTTCGAGGCGTGAAAAGATCACCTTCTCCTCCACTCACGCCCGAATATGTAATCTACAATGAGCTGGCATTGGAGGTCAAAGCCTTTTCGGTAACGATCAACCAGTTTGTGAAGGACATCGCTGGACTAGGTCAGAACGACAATGCCGGTGCTTCACTTACTCCAAACAGTCTCGATTGTGTTTTTTGCACACACGGCTTCCTGGTCAATACGGGCGACGATGGAGATCTGGTGCGGGACGCCATGAATGAAGCTCTAGAGGCTTTATCGGCCTTTCAACTCATTTTACTTGCACTACTTCATCCAGCCAAGCTGTACAATTGTCTCGAGGCCTCTGTAGCCAACAACGGCCTGTCTCTCAACAATCACGATCGTGGTCACATCCCCGGTACATCAATCTGTTTGACCTTGACACGAGCATTACAAGAGCTGCCGCCGTTGATACTGTCACACGCTATTGGATCCCGGATTTCTAAAAGGTCTGGATTCAGATTGCCTCACGAGATTTGGGGAGAGAGTTGGAGCGAGTACGAAAGCGAGCTAAAAGGGTTTGTGGCGGCTGAGTCTTGGACCCCCGAGATCGGCACTGAGATGATGAGGGAGATTAAAAGGATTGTCAAGCATGACAAAGGAGATGACACAGGATTAACTGGTCAAGATAAAGAAATGATGGGGTTGCTTGAATATGTTTGTAAATTTCAAATCGGCATTTGAAGTAAGTTGTTAATCGGAAGTTGAGAAACTCTTTCGTGTTCTTCATCTGTTGATTGTGAAGTTTTTTCCTTTTCGAATCTTTTTTTTCTTATTATTGAAACACATTTATTTGACTTCTTGTGTGATTGAGAAGAAGTAAAGAATCTGTTTGATTTGTCGTTGTTGTTTTTTTTAATTAGAAAGTTAAAGTGTCTTGTTATTCACTAATTCTTTTTTTTTGCTTTCTCGATTAGTGTTTCACATTTTGATTTTTGATTTTTTTTTCTTCTCTCTCTCTCTCTTGGCAACTTATTTAACATCTTTTTTTATGTCAATTAATTTTTTTTATCTTTTTATCCCTTTATGTTCTAAAAGAAATCATCATTTTATTTTTGAATGAAAGTAATTTTTGAGGAAGGTAACATATCCTCCATTAACAATTGTGAATTTACTTGAGCTTGATCTTTTATCTGTGCTTTGGTTCGTCTCAAATCATGTATCTTGGCTATACGATAAGATTCTGAGTAGTTGTATGATTCCTGATAATTATATAGCGTTGAGCTGTCTTGTCCTCATACTCACTCGTTGACAAAGCTCACAACGATTGATAGTGCAGGTTTACCTAAGAATCAAGAAATCTGCTTCCAATATAATTTTAGGCGATTGATAAACCACGCCGACTTCAAAGCTGGTTTGACGCCGGTTTTTTCAAACCGGATTCCTTTAGAAGATGTACAGCTGCTATACTGAGGTACAGAGCTGTACCACTTCTACAGCCTTCAAACCTCTTCAAACTATTTCTGACGCCGGGTTTTGACAGACTCGGCGTTATTCCTTTTGAAAGTTTTTGGATTGTTTTCACCGCTGATCAATCCTAATTCTTGTTTCTGAGAAGGTGACTAGAGAAATTCATGTTCTACATACTCAATTTCGGTAGTTGTAGTAAACATTGAGAGTTTCTACTTGTCTGAGATGAAGGGCTATTGAAAATGTTTCCATTTGCAATGTTGGACGATTGAACAAAGCTTGGACCAATCACAAGAAACATGATATACATCAAAATGCGGCATATCTCTGTCTTTGACTCATCGTTCATCGACTTCTTTGACACTACTAGAAATCACCGATTATTGTGATAGCATGCTCTGTTTTGAGGTTTCCATTGTGAAGAAGCAAACCAATTGCAAACCTCATGATTGTTTCTATCTACTCGCGGCTCCTAGTTCTTAAAGGTAGGCAGCGGCTTCAGTTATTTTTGTCCAAACTTCAAACATCTTTATCCGAATCAAAAGCCGGCGTCAGAAGCAAAACAAAACCCCGGCTGCAGAAAAACCTAGAAAAACTCTGAAGGCAGTAGAAGTGGTACAGCTCTGTACCAGTCTGTACCTCAGTATAGCAGCTGTACATCTTCTGAAGGAATCCGGTTTGAAAAAACCGGCGTCAAACCAGCTTTGAAGTCGGCGTGGTTTATCAATCGCCTAATTTTAAACTCTTATACTATTACATTGCCGTAAGCTGGAAATTCACAAACTTAGTAAAAACTTGAGTAGGGATCTGTTCTGTGAGTGAGTGATTGAGTTACTTATAAGTTCTCTTCAAAATTGCACATTTGTCTCACTGTAGAAATTGATCTTTACAAATTTGATAGATTTGGTTAGTCAATCAAAATTTGATCTTATTTGTTTCTTCTCAAAGAAATCTTATTGCTTTGAAAAGTAACGCATGAGAAAAAATCTGGGGCACCAGATCTAGTAAACAGCCTTTAGGGTTTACTCACCAACTAAAGTTCAACTTTGACCAACCATGTGTAGCACCAAACAGGACAAACCATCTGATCACCTTTCATCTAGCTTCATGAGGTTGCATTGTACCTTGTACTTTCTGGCTGTGTTAGATTTCTAATGGGTTACATTAGCTAGAAATTTCAAAACAAAAAAACTCCTTCCTTACTTAATCTTTTGAGGTAAGTAATATTACTTGGTCTCTACCACCAGTTTTTCAGCTCATCACTAACAAGATCTCTGAAGTTTGGCTCAGGTTGCTCTACATCAAATTTCAGAATAGAAAACCAGCTTATCTTCTGTCATCAGACAGTAGATAGAACTCACCTTTATTTGGCTTTGTTCACTGTAATCCTTTAGTTACCAATTGACCAGTTGATCATATTTAACCAGTAATATGATAGTCAGGACTGTAAGTAAGTGTTGGCTAGACCACTTACCTTCTTGATGTTTTGTTGATTGATTGTTGTTATTTTTGAAAGTTATCTTATCTTCTATGTTGTTCACTGGCCAACCTGTAGGGTGATGATTAAACATAAATTATCATCATACTCTGGACAGTTAGCCTTGGGGAAATTTCACCCAAATATTTTTCCAAAACTTGTTTGGTATTTCTGCTAAGTTTTATCATCAGTTTTGATAATTCTGATTTCCAGGTTTGTCATACTTTTACTGCTTCTGCATTCATCAGCAATTATTTTTTTGCATTCTGAATCCCAGGCAGCAGACTGTGCTTTATCTCAATACAACTTGCACCTTAGTAGGTCTCCTAAGACATGTGACTATGGAACCCCAAAATTTCAAAAACCTGGCTGTTTGTGGAAAAGTAAGATGTTTATATTTTTCAAGTAGCTAAGAATCTAGGTTGGTGATATTAAGATCTGGAAGAATGATTACAAGCTTGCTATGTGATGATTTGTAGGTGTTTGTAAATATATTGAGCCAGTAAGGAGAATATTTTGTTCATGTGTGACAACAGCTGGGTAAACATTTATGCGCTTTGGCCTCCCAGCCCTTCATCTTTTTACAAAACATGAATTACCAGGAATGTGCTTTTCAGGCAGGTATTTCTAAAGTGTTTTCAAAATTCAAAATTTATAAGTAGTGTCTTGATGTAGTATTTTAGACATTTTTCCAGCTTGAAGCTTGCCAATATCATTCATTGTTAGGTTCTGTCCCATCATTTAGCTTTGGCCACAGGCTGAAAAAGTCATCCAAGCCATTGAGGATCAACTTGGCTCCATTTGAATGCAATGAGTTCATCAAGGCTCATCTACAATAAGGAACAAACATACTCTTCTTAGGAAGGACTCAGTTTGTTAATTGCTGTGCTGAATGTGTGACCAACTTGTGCACCACCAAAAAGGTACAACATAATGCTTACATATGCAGTTTTGTACCAGATCAAAATTGATTGCTTATAAATTCTATCTTATTCAATGGCCAAAATCAATGGCCATATTTAAATTTTGAATCATTGAAACATCCAATCTTAAGTCATGTTGAAGCCATTCATTTTATCTGAAAAATATCAATTCAATTCCTTGAAAGGTTCAGGGAAATTATAGGTTGTATATCTGAAGTAGGACATGCTATCATTGGCTTAAACTGAGGATATAATGCATTAGTGATGATGTTTGAAAAGGCCAATAATTGATGTTAGATCTCTCCCCTGAGATCATGTTGAAATCATTTTGAAATCTTGTTGAGATCCTATTCAAGTTGCAATAATCTCTGGCCTACAGCTGGGGGCAGTGCATTAAGGGTATTCAAGATTTGAGAAGTGGCCTTGAGAAGTGAACCCCATGTAGACCCCTTGTGCACATGTTCACGATGTGCAGCTTCTTTGAGTATTAAGACTTGCTGCCAGACTGAGACCCACAGCATGATAAGGTCATATGAACATGATGTGATGAGGAACAGCACTTGATGGGGCTCTCAAAGTTACAAAGGCACTCCAGAAGTGTCACTCAAGAAACCTCTGACACAACTTCTGGATGTCAATTCTTGACACTTCCAGAGGCACCTTCTCAAATCTTGAATAGCCTTATTATACGCAAGACACATGCAAAAGTAGAATCATCCCAAAAAAGCTCAAAATGGTGAGAGATAAGATCCATTCTTGATGGAATGAACACAAAAATGATTGCTTGCCTACCCAATTTGAATTTTGCCCCGCAGAAGATGATATGCTGAACTGCTACCCCAGGGCTCCGCACATTTCTCCGCACAAGAGATACAAAGTAACAGGGTCCATTGCATGTTTTTATCGCTTCTGCATGCCAATCAGTCCTTTTGCGCCCTTTCAACCCAAGTAGCACACCAGGCTCTACTAACTGGAAACTTGTGCCTAGATATGTGTACTAAAATATATGACTGCACAACCTCAAACTCGGTATAACCCAACAGATGCCTGTATTATCAAACTGACTAGGGCTATAAGTTAATCATGTTGAGAGTTGTATGAAAGATCACAAGGTCGCTGGGAATCAAGATTGAGCCAGTCTTGCCGATAGTGTGATTGAGCGTGACGATATCTGTTGTGGTTAGGTGCTGTCCCGTCGTTTCACTTCGGCCACAGGCTAAAAATGTCAATCAAGATACCAAGGATCAGTTTGAGTCAATATAAATGTGATGAATTTCTTCAGACACATCTGTTAAGGAACAAACATACCTTAAAGGCGTATTTCATCATCTCGCCAATCTTACCTTTACCTTCTTCAAACATAGGACTAAAGAATTCAGCAGTATGTTCAAACCTCTGACGATAAAGTCCAAAATCTCCATAACTAATACATTGAGACCAACCCCGAGCAGCTAAAACGAATTCACAATCATCACTTCTATAACTTAAATCATGAATTGAAGCTGAAATGGTAGCTTCTAGACGATCAGTTGATTGAAATAAAAATTGAATCAATCCAAACCACATTCTAAAGACAGGTGTAGCAGCTAAATCTAAATGATCGAATGGATTGATCTTAAGTTGATGCCAACAATCTACGATTCCTAATAAAGTTAAATGACTGTTTGGTGGTGAAGGTGAATCTGATGGTTCTCCTACTGCAAAATCTGAAAAGAATTCATCTGAAGGAAAGATTGGTGAAGCAGTTGCATGATATGAACCTGGTAAACCAAATACGTAGTCTCTTGCGCTTAAGATTCGGGTTTTTAGTTCTTCTTCTTTCGCTGAGATCATCATGGTGAATAATTCAGTGACTGATCGTGCATATTGGTCTATCATACGTTTTGCGGCTGGATTCAAGATGGCCAAACCGGCATAAACATGCCACTTTGCAGAATAAATTCGTAGAGCCTAAGAAGAATTCATGCAAAGGTTAGAGAGATGATCGAGAAAGTGAGGAGTTGAAAATTGAGTCCAATCAGCTCTTTCTTAGGGGAAGAACGCACGATATTGATTTTGGCCACTTCGATACCACGAACATACCTTCCAAGTTCCCAGGGGAAGTTACCGGCTGCATGCCATGCCGTTCCCATACTGCCAAAGTTGATCTTGTTAATTTGAAGAAATGTAATTTGGATTATGAACTGTAAAGACCAGGTACTAACCTGAGAAATGCTGCATGGGTACATGCTTGGGTGTTGGCGGTCACCTCATCGTGTTCTTCATAAGTAAGTTCGACATATCTACTACGCATTGGCGCAAGTACGTGTTTGACCAGTTCCTTATCTGCATCTGAACATCGATGTGGTACCAGGATCTACCAACAAATCATTCGATCACCAATAATTCTCATCTAAAACAAGGAAAAAGAACTCACGAGTGCCTCTCCGTCGGGTGAAATTGATGGTCCATGAAGTGAGTGAACCGAACAAATCTTCACATCTGGTGGTAAACATTTTTCAAATGCAGCTCGTTCGGGTGCTTTAACGGAAGTTTGACCAGCGACTATTGCACCTGGTTTAGTAGCTGATCATTTCCGCAAAAATCGATCGGATATGCATAATCAAGAATTTTGAGTATACTGCAATTTGAATTCAATTTTTCTTGAGACCATTATGATTTAAGTGAGAAGATGAGAGAAGTAGATTTACATGGACCATATTGAGCCACAACTGATTCTAAGAATTCTGCATCGACTGAATAAATTATAAAATCGGCGGCTCGACTGACTAAATGACCGTTTTTCATGACTTCTACATTTGGACGATCTGAAACCGACAATCCAGTGAAATATCAGCGTGAGTCAAGAAGGGTAGTGGGACATCAAAGATCGATGACTGAAAACGAACCTTTGTAATCGGCTTTCAACGACTCATAACGTTCAGCACGATCACATACTAACAGACTGTTAAATCCATGACCAACAAAGAAGAGAATGGTATCAATCAAGTTTTTATCGATGAGTTGAACCGTTGAAAGTGTTTTGAAAGATAGAGCTTACCGACGCTTGGGGTCTTGGGATAATCGATCGGCATACATCCGACCCATATCACCCATTCCGATCAACCCGATCACTTTATCATCTATCTCTGTCGCCATCACTGCTGGAGACTGATGTGGTTATGCTGGTCGTTGGGAGTGGAAAGAAACCGATATGTATTCTCGAAACAACCTTGAATACTTCGAATCGATGTCGAGATGGATGGTCAATGTTATGTAGCAGTGTCAAATACACAAACGAGTGTTACTTCACAGCGAAATTTGTTGGCAGGTTTTTAAAATAAACTCCACCTTGAACCGTCTCGAGAATCAGATGCTGAGAGGTACACACCCAACTTAATTCCCCTTCGATCCACCCCGCTGAACTAGCGATTTGTTGATTTGGATCATATTATATCCAGTGCTCATGATCCCTGTCAAAACTTCTGTGCACAGGTACAATTTTGGAATTAAGAATGCTACATTCATTGGGTCATAGACTTATACAAAACACAAATCATGTCTAAACTTTTGAACCAATCAATGTCCAAAGAAGTGGACTGAAGGACATGAGCTAGCGGTGTAAATTTGATTAAAACTCAGCTCTACCCAAATCAAACCCAAATCTGTTGACTTCTTTACATATTTATGCCTCCACGGATCAGACTGAAACTGATTCTAAAACTTGCATGATGGTTGAACAAGCAAAACCGACCTTAAAATAGATGAAAGACTAAATAGAAGGCTTTCCCGTGCCTACAGCCCGAAGTTCTGAGACATATTGAAATTACTCAGCCGTGCCAGATTCAACTGGGTACTAGAAAAGGCACATGTGGTACCAATGATTAAGGAATTGATCCTCATCATGAAAAGGTTGAGTAGGAGATTGATACCATGATGACTCGTACCGAAGTATCAACTAATTAGTTCAACCAAACACAAATACACAAATCAAACGATAATAACGACGAGAAATTGGGATCTCTCCACGATAAATAATTTTACATATACTATGTTCCCAACCATATCAAGCCGGGTTCCAAGTGGCAAAATTCCTTCGATTGAGTAACATACCTTTTAAACTACGCATTTCATTTTTAAATTCATTGATAACCTTTTGATGTCTATCTACCGTTTCAGGCTTTCCACTCTGTGAATCAGAAAACTGTGGAAGAAATTGACTGAAATGACGTGCTGTGCCAAAATGACTATGATGGATCGAATTCGAAGATCGGATTGCTTCCATCTCTTCTGCAAAGGTTTTTAGAGTATGATGTAATGTGATCACTTGAGGGCCTTGTGGTTCAACTGGAATTCCGTGCCGCTTAAGACGCTCTTCAAATGGTGAAGATGTGGTTTTCCTCAATTCTCTTTGTCGGAGTAGATCAGCGAGACGAGCAAGTGATTGGTTTATTGACTGGTTATGTTCTTGAAGTTTTGATTGAACTTCTGAAGAAGGTGGGATTGGTGCATCATTTGAAACCGCTGTGGTCTCATCTTCGAGTTTAGTTACAGGTGCTGGATCGGATTCGGATATTCCGGTTTGTTGAGGCTCAATTTCTTTCGTCTGTTTACCTAGAAGTCCGGAATATGATTTCGCAATATCCCCTACGCGCTCGAGACATCCAGTGTATAACTTCACTCCGAGGGCGGTCAAAGCTGTGAGTGCGCGTGTGCGAGCCTCTAGAGAGGGGAAGAGATATCGCTAGAGACAAGATAAATTTGGGTTAACTTTATCTTGAATCTCATGAGAAGTTGAAATGATTTCAAGACTGAGCTGGAGATTGAAAAGCTCACCTGATATAGAAGGACGATGATACCTGATAAGGTGCCACCGTACAAGAACCATCGAGATGATAAGCGCATAAATCGAATTATGCTCTGATTGGATCTCGGAAGTTGAGAATAGGAAGAACTGATGATTGGATGATCATATGGATTACGTGGAGGTAATTGCGGTAAACCTGAACCAGGCTATCATATAAGCTGATAAGTAATTTGTCAACAAAAACCAAAAGTCAATGTACTCATCAATGTACTCACTCGATCATCTTCAGCAATATTTGACATCGAAGTAGAGGGATTGGGACGAATTTCTTCTGTTGGATTATTACTCATTTTTTGTTCTTCTGCCGATTGGATAGGTCGTTCAATGGGTAGTCTTGATAAAGGTTCAACAGGCTCCAATTCGTTGGCAAATCCACGAGCTCTTTGGTCCAGATGAACTGGGGTTGCGATCGATCGTTGATCATCATCTTCAGTCATCTGCTCCGGGGAATCGTGGCTGCTATGTGTCGTAGGGGAGGCATCAGACTCTGACGGGATGTGAACCAAACTTGATTTGACATTTGCGCTCATTTTGATGGAATAGTTGGTCAAGACAAGTTGGACAGAGCTCCAGAGTCCAAACGCAAGGAAGTTGAAGAATCAAGTGCGTCAGCTCAATGTACCGCCCCTATACGCGCACCCCGAAACGCACGTGGCGCCTCTCGAGATGGAGACGCGGGTTGCGCCCTTCCCTCAAAGACAACCTTTGATCGTCAGGCTGAGGCACCATCAAGAACCAACACAGTGGACAATCAACCAAGCCCCCCCTGCCATGGCAAAAAAAGCTGAGACATCGATAATCAAGTTTGTAAATTGTAATCCACTGCAAAGTATTGATGTTCTTCTCGTCAACGAGCTTTCTGGCTCTTTTTTTGATTCTACCAATTCCGATGACTATTATCAAAACCTGACAACATTTCAAGGATCAAGGAGCCCTTTACTACATACACTTACAAAATATATTGGATTGTTGGAACTGTGCAAAGAAGGCTTCAGCTCATGTATCATGCCAGTACTACCAAAGACTGCGCTTAAACAAAACCCCGACAACTTGACACCGGAAATGAATGGGGTTTGGTTTTGCTGTTGTGGAGTACGTAGATGACTTGCACTTAGATTCGCTTGGGTCTACAAGGTCGTATGAGGTCGTATGAGGTCGTATGATAGGAAATGCAACACTTGCTCCTCTTTACTAGGTAGAATCAAAGTCGAGACACCATATTACTTTCAACCTCATGCGGCCTCGTGGTGCTCAGCGGATTGAGACTAAACCGAAGGGGCATCGTGGAGGTGTTCACGTTGGCAATGGAGGTGTTGGATCGTACTCTACTCCTAGCCCCAGCCATCCCGTTAGCGTTTTCTATCGGGCTCATCAAGGATATGTAGATACGCAGTGATGATTGGCAACGCTTCTTCTACGTCCATGCCAGCTGCAAGCTTTCAGGGCTTTGAGACGCGTTGGTCTGTAAAAATCAAGCTCGTGAGACGGGTCTCAAAGGGTCTCAAAGGTATCTCTCCAATGTGCTTTTCGGGACCCCTTCGTAAATAATTCGGCTCAATAAGTGTCCTTTACGTATTCGCTCATGTTTTGTTTTGCACTGCCAGTTGGGCCTATTTGGGCATTCGACTTTGAATAGCATTGAATACATATTTGAGGAACCTCTTCGTTCCTTGCGTCCTCGAAACACTAATTTCAACACCAGTGGTTTGCAAAACTTTTATGTCGGTCTCTCGATGGATTGTGAGCTTGTGTGGTCAGCATCGGTGGAGAGGTGCTAGCTTCATATACATAATACAATGTACCTCGCTGATTTCCCACCCATCTGATTACCTGTCATTGGACTCTACGTAGACCAAGTCCAAGTCAACAGTTTTCGTTAGGGGACCTGACTAGAGATTGCAAAGAACTGGGTGAGAGAGAAGACACATCCGCACAGACCAAAGAGGGGAAATACTTAAATTCAATCAATCTGGTATCATTGACTGCGAATTCGAGGAAACAAAACGAGTGTGGGAAAGCAAAGTGTTTGCTACTCTCTGACATTCAAAATTACGTGCGTCACACGAAAACTTTGAATCTCCCTATGAAGTTATGATTCATGAACCCTTTCCTTTTTCAAAGTCGACTGCAAATAGCTGCAAATGCGCACGCAGCTCAAGACCAGCCATTGTACTCATCTCACCTACACCGGCTTCCGTCCGGATTTCAAATTCCCCAACGCGACGCTTTTGCTATCTCAAGGCTCATATTACGATCTGTGCATGTTCAAAAATTTGAATAGAGAAATGCATCCGAGGAAATTTGATAAAATTTGAATTTAGTAAGTTTTTTGATATTTTTTAGCACCAGCTACACAAATTGATTGCTTGTAAAACCATCCTCGAAAGGGTATAACAAGGTGTAGTACACAACCTGTCCTTATTGCTCCCTATTCCCCTTCCTGTCTAAATTCTTCATCAGGCCTGTCGAAAGTTTCCATCCTTCAAGTTGTCCAAACGTCCATTTCATCTCAACTTTCTAAACTCTTTTATACTTGTCAACTAATCCTGAGATCACATAATCCATCCCACATCTGCCCAAACCAAGTCTCAATCTTCCGCCAGGGTGAGTCCTTCCTCTTTAACTCATGTCTTTTTGCCATTCCTCGTCTTTGGTGATCATGACGCCTTCATGCTACCGTCCAACCATCTCGCCCATCTGTTTCATACAATTTCTGTTCCATCTCACATAATTTTTCTCCGCAATTGAACCAGTTGTGATTTTGGTCATAAAGTGCCATCAAGATTTTCCTTCTCCCATCATGTCTCCCATCCTTCTCCCATCCTTGTCCGCTATGCGTCCTTCGCGCTGGATCACAAGTCGCGGCGTGTGAATTCCGCTCGTGCGAGAGTTGGCCATCAAATCTTTCCTCGCTTTTGATTTCTTTAGCTCAACAACATTCCTGCGGTGCCATTGCTTGTGAAACAGTCCGGCGAATCAAGATTGCTTTTTCCCGAGCAGGCTCGATGTTGCTTTCCCCAAATGCCCGACACACCATCCTGTTGACCCTTATAACGGCAGCAGGTATGGCTGGGAACGATTTGTCACATTCCCAACAGAATTATGCGCATCTATCCCGCTAGAGTTACTTGACTCTATTTCAGCCTTCACGGTACATGAATGTAGTGCGTTACCAGATCTCCCCCTTCCCTTTCCACAAACGCCTCTTTCATGCCTACAGCGGGCTCTTGCCTGCTTGCTTCGTTTGGCGAAGCTCCAGATGTCACGCTTACCTGCAATGGCGCTCAGTCCTTGTCACCTCATCGATCTCTCCGAGTATATCCATTGTCTTCTCCTTGATCTGCGAGGTACTCGAGACTTTTACCTTGTGAAGTACGCGGTTGGTCAGAATGACTTCCTTCGTAGTAGCATTGCGCCTGCGCCACATCGGCTTTTGTGGTGTCGCTTACCGCTTTTTGCTTCAGCCCTTTTTTACGATGCGTAAGGGACAAGAACATCTCGCTGGAGGTGCTGAATGACAGTCACTCAAATCTGACGGAAGAGTTGTCCTGTCTGCTGTTTCGGCTCAATTTTACAGTTTTTAATCCTTCAGGCTTTATAATCTTGTCTATCTTGTGGTTCCTGCTGTCTAAAGCTGTCGCCTGCTTAATTTCCTCATCATACTACAGCGTCATTGTGGTCGGAGTAGCTTATATTTCGGTACACGCTTGTCACCCCGCTCCGAAAAGATTTACCGCATGGCTCTTGCTTAGTTCATGCCGTCTCAATGCTTGACAGCGGAACGCCTATCTCATTACTTTCTAGATAACTTTCCTCTTGACCAATTGCCTCATACCTGAAGATCAAACTTTACTGACCAAGACTGTCGATCGGTCTCTACACCCAGATATAATTTTCTCCCCGCTAACTCTGCAGAAGACATATTTCTTGTTTGCGCAACTTCGTCCTCAATGTGAGTTACTTGGTCCATCATTTTGGTATGATATTCGGGATTTGCTGATTGTATCTCTCTATGAAGACTCGCAAGGGACGTAACTGTGTACCTCTCGACTTTTGTCTCGTCAGGGTGCGCTAGCGCTCCGCCATCGATAATATCAGCTGTCAAAGTATTTTCACTCTTTGCCTCCAGCTGATCGACAGGCGCCATTGGAAAGTATCAAGTTGGCGCACAACTTAATATTCCCAGTCAAAGGCATACCCCATCGCGTTAAATTCTATCATTCAAATTGAACTCTCAACTCTTCCGCCATCGTCCCATCGACAACGCCGCTATCATGAACTCGAAGCCAGTAGGCACTGCTCTTACGTCTCACCAGCTCTCACTCTCTCCCCCACCATCCGCGGGTTACCAATCCGCATACCGCACCCAAAACAATTCCTCTTACAACCAATACTCTGCCTCAACTTGCCCTTCCTCTCGCTCGTCCCCAGATTCGTCTTCCGCCTTCGCAAATCAAAATAGTCTTCATCCGACCACCAACAGTTATGTTTCCAATGATACATTACCCTGTAGCCGTGGCGCGAGTCCGCCCGATCAGCAGGACGCGGATGAGCATATACCACCAACTAAACGACTTCGTACAACTACTTTCTTCTCTCAAATCGACAGCCGCAATTCAGACAAGCCGTCACACCTCGTGCTTACCCCGTCCCACTTTGCAATTTCAGCCCAAGATGTATATCGCGGTGTATCGGGGGCCGAAGATACAAAGGCCTTGCCTCCTATAATGACTCGAGAAGAACAAGCTCAAGGAACAGGGCATGCGGACAACAGGTTGCCCCTTATTCGACCCGGTTTCAACAGCGAGAGACACCACAATCTTCATTCTACTCCGGGCAGTGACGATGCTCATGAAAATTCGCTATCGTCGCATAAACCCACTGATCAAAATTCTAATCCTGTGCGTTTCCAATCCCTTTCCTCTCAAATTATTCAGCTCCAATCCCATACAATCAACAAATCCATCTTCTAGACCCAGCCGCAGAGCTATAAGCCTCGAATTAGTCCTTCATTCTTCTCCGTCGAACCAGTGTATCTTGTGGGCTGACTTTTTGCTGCCTTCCTCGTTTATGCCGATAATGTCTTCCCAATTGTTCTTGATTTAACGATACCCGACGCACCATTTCAATTCAAACTGATCTTCCTTGTCTATGCGTGGAATGAATGAACCTCTTGCCGCCATGTTGATCAGTCTGCTCAACTTGATCGACAATTTTCACAGTCCCCAAGTGTTCCGACAAATCCAGTTTCAGCGAAGCAGTCGGCAAGCTCTGAACACCCTTCATTCGTTCAACTTGAACATCAGCATGGGTCTGCTGCCTCTCATCCCGCCAGCCCCCTTGTGTTATCAAGTCACCATCCACAGCCTCTCCTTTCGGCTCATCCTGCTGGGTATATGCCTTCCTTGCCATCCCCGGTTGGTACTACCAATGCTCACCACTCCCAGCATGCCCTTCATCATCGTGCCTCTTACCCTGGCTCTCCGTCCATGACGATCACACCAAGCTCGGCAACTTTCTCGCCGAATACAACTACCGCGTTCGGCCGGATATCACCCCCTACTGTTCATGAGCCTTCCTCACCGGCGTATTGCACTTCTGCCAGCGCGTTTCCTCATCACGCTGCTGCACATCTCATGGGGTCTCCGTACCCTGCCAGTGGTACCGCGACACTCGGAAATCAGACCGGCGTTTCCTCGGGCAACCGTTCGGTCTCACAACCGTCGTTGACCGCTGCCGATGCTTCCAAAAGCGATGGAGGTCGATGGGCCACCTCTGATGGGCAAGCACCCCGTCGGCGTGGAAAGCTTCCGCAAGCAGGTTGGTTTGTTTTATTTGTGATAGGCTAACCCGAGCTGACCACGTCTGGTTACCTTCTCAGTCACTGCTTTGCTTCGCAATTGGTTGATGTCTCACACGAGCCACCCTTATCCGACAGAGGAAGAGAAGAAGTTTCTGTGCGAGCAGACTGCTCTTAATATGAACCAAGGTGCGTTTTACCTCCTTAGAATGCGATTGCGTGTTTGTTTGTTGATGAATTTCGCTATGTCATATCATAGTCAGCAACTGGTTCATCAATGCACGTCGCCGAATCCTCGTGCCACCCACAGGCTGTAACTCGACCCACCAGGTGCGACAGCCCATTCGCAGACAGGCTCAAACCCAACTGGCGCGTGCCGCTGCTGATGCGGCGGTAGGGATGGCGCACAGTTTACCTTCCCCATCTCCCACCTTTCCCTCGGGAGCTTTTGACTTCCGCGGTCCGCACTTTGCCAATCCTCGCAGTCCTCATGGAGCTATAAGCCGTTCGCCAACCTCGCCGGTTACTGGGCAATACGCAACGTATCCATCCTCCTACCAGATGTCCTCTTCATCAGCACCAGCGACCCCTCAATATGGCTCATCACCCTACCCATCTTATCAAGCTTATTACCATCCGACACCCGCATATGCCCATTTGAACGCGAGTTCTAGACTTCCTTCACCTCGCTCGCAGCCGAACACCCCTGGCTACCCCCCACCGCAAATTGTCTGCCACGCGCCTGAGAGCCAAGAAGCGTGAGTATTTTTGTCGGACCTGTACCAGAACTTATGCTTATATATCCGAATCGGCAGTTATTCTCGCCCAGTCGCAGTGCATCCCCCCGAACACCCTGATACACGTCCGGGCTCCACGGATATGCCGAGTTCCCTCAAACTTCCATGGCAGCACACCCAATCGCACATTGAAGATACCAGCGCGAATGCCTGCGAGGGTGGTAACTGAGCACACCGCTCGTCGAAGCTGTCCCTTCGCTAGATTTTGACCTATGAACTATGGCAACATAGTCCCACTTACAGTCCCTTTGATTCATTTGACTCGCGCCTCTATCAAAAGGAAAATCACAAATGATTGTGACATCCATCATCTGCCCTATGTCCCAATATTCTATAACCTCTTTTCGACCCAAGATAGTAGTTTCTGTATTTGATCATTACACATCAGTTTGAGCAAGAACGTCATAGCAAAATTTTCCTTTAGCTTACCCACACACACCCTTTCTCTGTCTTGCTTGAAATAGTATATCAAAAGTTTTTAATGGTAATAACCACAATAAGTTTTTCTAATTGTCAATCTTCTTTCTTCATTGTTACTTTCTTGTGTCAAAAACCCAATCTTTTAAATCTTATATCCTTAGCACAAAAAAATAATACTCATCTGTTTATTTTGAAAATCATTTTCATTCATCTTGTTCCTTTTGATTTTATATCAACCAATCGTCAAAACTTAATCACTACACTAAACTATGCAAATTATAAACACCATTAATGCTGCTTTTGATCAATCCTCTGTAGCCAAGGCCACAAATGCGCCTTAACTTTGGTCTGAAGTGAAATTTGCAAAGTCACTCCCTCTTGCTCTCTCTCAAGTTTAACTTTGGGGTGCTGACACAATCAAGGGTGCCACTATACTAGCTCGCCGTTGTGTATGTACATCTGAATACCAAAAAAGTGGACCACTCACATGAATTTGATGCTGTTCTCTTCTCTATTGCTTGGGCCCGCCTCTGGATATCACATTCATTCTGTTTTGTTTTTCCAATACTCGGCTACATCCATTTCATTATATGTTAAATGTCCTTCAATGTACTTGCTCAGATAGTGTTATATGGAAATAAGCAATCACACACTTAAAACAAACAATATATGGGATGTTGAGAAAAAATAATCAAGTTTTCTAATATGTTAAAGAAGATTAAACTTCCAAATTTACCACTGAAAACCAAAAAAATACAGTCTTTGCTGTATAGAAATCCAGATTAAAACTGAAATTTGAACTTTTTCATTTTTCCTCAATTAGGGGATACAAAGTTAAAACTGGGAGTTTTTTCCCAGTTTCCCAAATACATACCGCCAAAAACACAAACTGAGAAACTGGGAGAACATGGGAAAGTTCCAAACACAGCCAAAAACAAAAACTGGGAAACTGGGAAAAAAATCCCAGTTTTAACTTTGTATCCCACAAATGTCCAAAATATAATTAAATGGTTGTACATCACCAGAGGGGTTTGAATATTTTGAACTCAAACCACCAGTTGTCTACATTCACATCATTTCTCCCATCTTCAAACCAATCATAAACCTCTCTATTGTTCTCAGAATTCTTACATGCCACCTAACTCCCTCTCTATCACCCAAAAAACATGTTTTGCACCAACAACAGGCCAGAGCATACTTTAGACTACAAAAGTTACAGATGACTGCTGTGATTTTTTGTCTGAGTAATAGTTAGGGGATACAAAGTTAAAACTGGGATTTTTTTCCCAGTTTCCCAGTTTTTGTTTTAGGCTGTGTTTGGAACTTTCCCACGTTCTCCCAGTTTCCCAGTTTGCTAAGTTTACGTTTTTGGCGGTATTTGGGAAACTGGGAAACTGGGAAAAATCTCCCAGTTTTAACTTTGTATCCCCTAAGTATTTACAGCTATGTATTCACAGCCATTTGGTTCTTTGTATTTGAATGAAAACCCTTGCGGTTTCATGTACCATCTAAGCCCTTCAAGTGTCTTGTCTTGGAAAGACTTGACTCAACAAGAGCCTAATCCTTCTCAATTCCAAGGCCAATTTGTGATCTTGTAGCCTCGATATACAGACATTCTTCTGTTTAAACAATGATCTGATATGATGTGCATGCAGAGGTGCAGTGTAATGCACCGACCCGGCCCCAACCCGGTAATTCTGAGGTGGGCCGGGCCAAACCACCCTTCAGGCCGGGCCGACCCGGTCCGGTAGCCCTAACTCAGTGAGAACCGCTGGAAAAACCCAAAAAAAACCCTCTGGGGCCCATTTGATATTGAACTTTAAAGTTTACCGCGAAATCCATTGAACTTAATCGATCCAAACACGCCGAAGATGCCGCCAAAACTCCCTCGCCCTTCTTCCACGATTATCCTAACCGACTCCGAAGATCAATCCCAGTCCCAAACGTCGAAAACGTCAATCAACGCAGTCAAACTCACCCAGAATCAAAAATCTTGGGTTTGGAAATACTTCAAGACCAAAGTTCATCAAGGTGTTGCTAAATACGTGTGTCAGGCTGCAAAACCTGCCCGTAGTACTCGTATTTGTGGAGCTCTAATGACCCCCGATCCAACTCAGAGGACCAAGTCTCTAGCTCGACATCTCCAGCGTTATCACAACATCGAGTCTAAAACTGAGCCACAACAAGGTGCTATCAAATCATTTCTTGACACTGGGACGATGAAAAAGGTAAGTTGTTTTTCTTTTACTCATCTTTCCTTCCATTTATCCTTTCGATCATCTCATTTTTGATTCATTTATCCTTTTGATTTTTCAATTACTCGTCATCTAGCTTCCCAAGCTGTCTCGCGATTCTCTCAAGTATCAACTGGTCAAACTTATTGCCAACTGCAAACTGCCGGCTGCCATTGTTGATTGTGAAGATTTCACGTTCCTATTCTTGGAATCACAGCTCACTGGATCGACGATCAATTCAAAATGCAAGAAGTCATATTAGCTATGCAAGAGATTGACGGACCAAAGACTGGTCTAAACCTTTCAAAGTACTTTATTGATTGTCTTGACAAGTTTAACATCCAATCAAAAATTTATTGTGTCACTGCTGACAACGCTTCGACTAACGGTGTGATGGCTCGAGAAATTGCTCATGAGATCAAAGATTTTGAGAAGGATAAAAACTTACTGGGATGTGTGGCCCACGTTATAAATCTTGTTGCTCGGGCTGGGTTAGCTGTATTCTCAAAGAAGCTGGGTGAGACGACTTTGGTCGACATAGTAGATATACTCAAAGATGATTCATTTAATCAAGTCAATGCTCCTGGAGCCCTTAGTCGACTCTTGGGATTCATCACAGCGGTCATGAAGACTCCGAAGCGCAAGAAAAGTTTTGAAAAACTAGTTGAATCTGAACTTGGTCGCTCTCTTGGTCTTATCCAAAACGTCGAAACTCAATGGAACTCTGATCTCAACGCCCTCAAGAAAGCTTTGGTACTCAAGGATGTCATTGATTTGAAATGCTCACAAGACCAAGATATGAGCAAGTTTAAACTCACTCCGGTCAAATGGGAATTGATTGCCCACCTTGTTTGATTCCTTGAACCTTTTGAAAAAGCGACCAATATGCTTTCTCAGTTGACTTACACAAGCATCGATGCTGTCTTGCCTGTCTATGAGTGGCTCGAGTCTCAGCTTGACAAGGTAAGACATATTTCATTTTTTATCTTTTGCATTCTAATCTACAATAAGTTCTAATGTTGATTCTCCTCATAGGCTTTGATCATGTTAGAAAACAATCCGATCCACCCAGCCATTGCTCCAATGAAGACCAAGCTCACCAATTATTTCAACAAAGCAATTCTCAAGCCTGTCTATCTTTGTGCTCATCTATTGGACCCTCGCAGCAAGGATCAAGAGCTTTCTTCAAACACTCTTCTCCGAGCTGGAATCATCAATCAAGCGGACTGGCGAGATCTCTTTTTGGATGAGGCTCGCCAATTTATCCCAAGCCCCGAGCAAGACAATGACGACATGGACGCAATCACCCAACCTGAAGAAGACGGACCTTGATCATTCATATCAGCACCTAAGAAGAAGAGAACTTTAGATGTAGAACTTGTTGCTTACCTTGCCGAACCTCGAGAGCCAGGGAATCGTGATCCCTTGGTTTATTGGAAGGAAAACGTGAAGAAGTACCCCTTGCTCTCCATGATGGCTCGCATCTTCCTCTCAATTCCAGCCTGCAGCACTCCTTCTGAACGGGCTTTTTCAGCTGGAGGACGTGTTCTCACTAAACGTCGCCACGGTCTCAAATCTGACACCTTTGAAGCGCTTGTATGCCTCAAGACTTGGTACAAGGTGTTAACTACAATCACTTTATTTTTTTCATTATTTTTCTTTTCAATTCCTTTCTGAAAATATTTGTTTACTAGTACCTAGCTCACAATGAGCTTATAAAGACACAAATGAAAGTTTTTATACATGATATTTAAAGAAATGCAGATTTGTTTGGCCTGATTTGAGCCTTTTCTCCTATACTTGCCCCCCCTACCAAAATAGCGGGTCGGTCCGGGTCAACCCGGATTCACTCAAAATCTTGCCGAGACCCGCTTGCCCCGGTCCCGGCCCCGGTACCAGACCGGGTTTCGCAGACCGGGTCGGCGCATTAGTGCAGTGTTGTGAATTTTCAGGGAGGCTATGATTTATTACAAGAGAGGTCTAGTACTCACAATGTAATTGGTCCTGACTAAGGTATTCCGCTGGTTACGGGGAATATGAGTTGATAGTTATACAGTTGCTCCAGTCTAGTCACGACTGGAGCCTGGCCCCGGCCCCGGCCCCGGGACGCAAATGTTAGGGGGTCCCAGTAATACCAAAAAAAAAAATCGCAGAGGTTTTTTTTGCGAAAGTTCCTCTGTATTGCCACATTTTATCCCCACATTTCAGTGCATCGTCACTTTATCGCCACTTCCCATAAACTCTAACATCATGGCAAATAAATCCAAAGCTTTGAAAGCTCAAGCACGACGATGGAAGAAGGTTCGTGCAGCAAAATCGAAGAATTTCATAGTTCTCTCCGACTTGGAAGATCAGGAAATCACGGAAATCACGGATATCACTGTGGATCCTGATCTTCAATTCATATCCGGCAATGACTCAGAGACTGTTCTTCAACCATCTCCTCCAATCATGATTCCACTCGACTCCATTTCCAAAGTTGAGGAATCAAAAACCCCTCAGCCTCCTCAATCTG